TTTAAAATTTAATTTAAAATTTGTATTTGATCCAAGGATCATACAAATGTTTTTTCCACCAAACACGAAATGTGTTTTTATCCAAAGTTGCTCACTGTAGCATTGTTTGAAATAGCAAAACACTGAGAACCACTGAAATGTTCATCAGTAGGAAACCAGCTAAGTATCCCACTGTGTGGAATAGTCCTACAACAGAATACTGTACAGCTATTTTTACAAGGGAGAGAAGGAATAAAGTAGATTTATTATGTGCCTCAGAACACTGCCCAATAATATATTTTAAGAAGTGAAAGAAAAGAGGGAGAGTCAGAAGAAAGAAAAAAGCAATTGAAGACAGCATGTACAGTATCATCCCATTCATGAGAGATTCTTTTTTTAAGACAGGGTCTTGTTATAGTCCAGGCTGGCCTTGAACTCATTATGCGGCTTAGCTTGGCTTTGAACTCTTAGTTATCCTCTGCCTCACTCTGCCTAGTGCTAGGATTACCAATGTGCACCACTATGTCCAGTGAGATACATTTTTAAAAGAAAAAACTGAAAGTGCATGTATCGGATACTTTCAGGACATGTAAGGATAAAAGCTATATGGAGAACAGGTGAAAGCAACATAGGAAGGAATTAAAGTTGCTTTGTACGTTCACATAGCTTTCTGTCCTTTTTATTTCCTTTTTTGTTTCTTGGTTTTTTTTGGTTTTTTGTTTTTTGAGACAGGTTCTTGCTATGTAGTGCAGGCTGGCCTTGAACTCAGCAATCCTCCTGCCTCAGCCTCCCAAACACTAGGATTGCAGGCATGTGCCACCCCACTTGGCTTTTTCTGCCCCTTTTTAAAAATTGTGAGTGTGTGTCATATTTATAAGTCAAAGAACAGATATTTAATGATTAAAAACACAACTGTCCTAAAAGTAAAATTCTAATTCAGAGAAAATCAATTGCTACAAAACTTCAATGCCAGAAAAAAGTGAAATGTAGCTACCTGACATTGACAATAGGTCAGTTTGTCACAACTCATTCTGATTTCACATGTGAAAGTAAACATGCAAATAAATGGAAGAAGAAAAGAAAAATCCACTTAATTAGATTAAAATGTTCAATAAAATTTATTAGAATCACCCAACAATTGCTAGCGCAACCTTCACAAATTGTGCTATTAACAGTCTTACTACTATCCCTGCTTTGCAGCTGTGCCAAGCACACACCAGTCCTCCTCCACTGCCCATGCTTGACTGGTGGTATCACGAACAGGACCCAAAGGCCTCCATCTGCCCAAAGAGGAGATGGTGGCTTTCACTTGGCCCAGCAGGTTCTCAGCTGTCATTACAGAAAAGCACTTCAGGATGCATCAGTGAGCAGCCTCAGCAGATTTCTTAGGCAGAGTTAGAAAGTAAGAGAAAATGGGAGGGGATTTCAGCTTAAGAAACCAAAGGGGGCTCAGCTCTGATAAACAGGATCAGACTGACCTATTAACACAAAAATAGCCAGATGTGGTGATGAACACCTGCAATCCCAGCCCTCTGGAGGTTAAGGAAGAAGGGTCACAAATTGGAGGCCAGCCTGGACTACATAAGCAAGTTTGAAGGTGCGCTGGACTATGTGGTGAAACTCTGTCTCAAAAGAAAAAAAAAAAAGGAAAGTACACTAGAGAGGGGCCAAGGCAGACTAAGTTCTGGTTAGCCTTTATCTCAGTTCTGGTTTTGCAAAATGGCCTAGGGAGGAGTCTTTATTACATGGGTGCTGGGGGTTTAGCGCAGTGATGCAAGTTCCTTCTTGGACTAAAAAATAAATAAATGAATGAATAAATAAACACATGGATGGATGATTTGGTCTCGCTGAAGCAGTCTTTTACAGAAGTCTTTCTGGAATCCAAAGTAACTATAGGTTTAGAAGAAAGATTGGATATTTCTGGATGCTCTTGGTAGTTGAATATCATTATGAATTTCTAACTTTGGTGTCCTCAATCTTGAAGGAGGGTAAGTTACATAAAGCTAGAGTTTAACAAACCTTGTACTACACTTCTAGCTTCTAGACAGTCACTTTCTAAATGACTAATATACTTAAATGCAGAGCTGAGTAGATCAGCTGATAGGTATACAAGGATGCTGTCTCATGCCCAGAATCCCAGCACCAAGCAAGCTAAGGCAGGAAAATTGAGTTCAAAGCCAGTCTGGGCTACATAGACCATATACCAACTCCCCACCACCACACTTGCACACCACAATGAGAAGAATACAAATTAAAGTTTAGTTCTGCTTTTAGTTACCTGTTGGGCATCTATGGAAGCAATTGAGAAGTTACTGGTTTGATTTGGTTTGGTTTGGTTTGGTCTGGTCTGGTCTGGTCTGGTTTGGTTTGGTTTGGTTGGCAAAAGAAAATTTCAAGTCCTTGACTTCTTCAGAAGAAAATGCAAATCATGGTTTTAGTAACAGGAGCTTGTTTGTCTTCTGTCCTTAACCTGGTTTCTCAATCTATCAGTATCCATTGCATATCCCTCAATGACCAATCTAGGACTGTAAAGTGCAAAAGACAAATTTCACCTCAATGACCAATCAATGACTGCAAAGTGCAAGAGACAAATTTCACCCAAGGTAAATTCCCTCTGGACCCAGCAGCCTTTGAAGATGGAAGAATCATCCTCAGTCAAACACATTTCCTCTAGGTGGGCAGAGGACACCACCTCCAAACAAGAAGGACTCATTGTCTATTGAAGTTCCTGTTTCAAAGAGATACTCCCACATACGCATGTCTTTCCCTCCAGAGTCCCTACGACCTTCAATGAACCAATTTGATCAGAAGCAGAAGCTAAAAATCCCCACGCTTTTTCCCCTCCTTCTATCCTTTCCTGTTCACAGACCCTCTCCCTAATGTCTCCTGCGTTCTTCAAAAAAAAGAAGAGAAAACTGGTGCTGGAGGCTAAATATCAACCCTGTCTACATGAGGAGGAGCCGGGTGATATTTACCCATCTCCTAGGCCAGAATTCTCTCTGCCCAGAATCCATTGCTCTTTGAAGTGTGGCCTTCCTCACCCACCCCACACCCTAATTTTCAGCCCCTACATCTGGCTGTCCACCTCTGGAGAACCAGTAAAGACAGAGTAAGTCCTGTGGATCTGTTCTCTTGAGCCAAGCCCTGAGATCCCCTGCTGCAGTCCTGCGTTCCCTCCCCCAGTCCCACACTCAGGTCCAGAGCTGGGAAGTGTTCCCACAGTGCATTACCTCTGAACAGAGAAGAAGAAAGAGGAATGTAGCACTATCCAGCATCCGTCAATAATTCATGAGGCTCAGACTGAGGGGCACCAGTCGAGGCAGTTTTCCTCTGACATGGGGAAAATTAGACTTAGGTTCTCTTATCTCATCAGAATGTGCTGAATACCACAACTGTAACTTCTTTGTTATATACCATAAGTCCAGTGTGTGCCTGTCATTTCACTTGATACTCATACCCCCTGTGGAATGTTGAAATTCTTTTTCAGCCACTCAACTGACCAAAACATATACTAAATGGACCTTTAGCAAGTATGAATTGTATTAAGCAGTGGTCCTCAGTTCTGGATTTCCCAGACCAAGATTCTCTATCCTCTAACTGTAGTGACTGGCACAGATTGACAAACTGATGATTACACCAACTAACAATACTTCTAAACCTACTCATCTGCTTCTATCATCTTTTCTTATTTTTATTTATTAGTGAATGTTTGCGGTACATAATGACGACATTCATCACGTGGAGCAGGTACGTGAATATAACACATCATAATTCTTTTTATCGCCTCTCCCTCCATCTCTTTCATTATCTTTTCTGAAAGGTGGAACACCAAAGAGCGTATAAAAAGCACAATCCAGAGTAAAGAACTGTTAAGTTAAATATGCTGAGCTTTATGAAATTCATTATATTGCCTTTTTTTTTTTTTTTTTTTTTTTTTTTCATTTTGCCTCAAACTAGTGAAAACAGTGCTGTGACAGCACTGCTTCTCAGCCTGGCCTTTGGAACCGACTGGGTTAAATCAATTTAGAAGTTTGCACTTGGGCTTGCTGAGGCCTTTCTAGAGTGTACCATAAGCCATCCAGATTTATTAGTTCTCCCAGAAACCCAGGAGGGAGATCATTTCAACCCACTTGGCAGAAATGTAGGCTAAAGTCTTGAACACAGAATTTATAGCCAGTGAGAACTTTATCCATCATCTATTCCACATCCTGGGTTCATAGATAAAGAGTCTGGTCTGTGGCAGCAATAATTATTATTATGTGGTGGCAATAATTACTATGTGTTTAGTAGTTTACAGTTCTTAAAGCACTTTTATATTCAGCAAATATTTATTGAACTAGGATAGAGGCTAAAACCTGGAGACAGTGACTGGGGAGAGTATGAGGGCTCCCGAGTCTGTACTTCCATCACTGGCGGAGGACCCTCTAGCATCCTTGTTACCATTTAGTCGCTATAAAATGGGATGTCCTCCTAGATGAGTTAGGGTCTCTGTCCCCAAACACTGGTTACTCAGTAATCACAGTCTGCCCTCCATCTCTAAAGACGAAGGAGACCTTGAGTCAGCGGGAAGGTCAGCACCAAGCTTAGGCCAGCTACTTGCCATCAAGTTTCCTCTCCTGGCTCCTTCCTCTACCTTCACGTGGTAGACTCATGAAAGACCACAGGCCTCACCTTCAAAGGCAGTCTCAAAATATCTGCCGGGAGCTGCCGTCTATGTAGACCTACACTTTCTTAAAAAGGAATTCTATTTTTAGGTTTTGAGAGGCAAAGGAAACTAACAGCCTCTGCCCCACATCAGCCCCATCACAAAAAAGAAAAAAAAAAAAAAAAAAAAAAAAAAGGACAAACACATGCAGAAAGAGGGAGCTGGGGGGCGCAGGTTCCTGTAGGGAGAGGGGCCCAAGGAAACTTGGACCAGGAGCTCACTCTTACCAGCCAGGAGAGAACCAGTAGTACACAAAGTAAATATCATGGGGCACAGGGTTTGGGCGCCGGCAGGGGACGCGTGCGGCCACAGCCCGCCCCTTGTCCTGCCTCCCTGGCCTATTAAGCATTCACCTCTCGGAGCCCAGAGAAACCCGGCCCCGGCGCCTGCGTCATGCTTAAGGTGGGACTGCGGCTAGGCGGCTGTGCTCAGGCGTGGTGCTCGGTGAGGATGGCGAGTGCCGGGGTGACCCGCCAGAAACCGCTCGCGAATAAGGTGGCCCTCGTTACGGCCTCCACGGACGGGTAAGTGCCTGGCCTGGGGTCTCTGAAGCCCGAGGTGTATGCAAACAGCTAGTGGCCTCTTCGTTTTCACCTCCCCGGGCCCAGTCCTCAGGCCCCCCGGGCCATCAGAGCCCTACACTAGAGGAAAGAGGAACCACGCGGTCGGCCTGAAGTTCTCCGAACCCACACTCTGTGCCCACTACCTTGCCCAAAGTTGTCAGCACGGTGCTGCCCCCACAGATCTAGGCTCCTTGTGCTCTGGGCTGCCCCAATCAACAGCGCCACCTAGAGTCTGGGAAGACCAGAAATCCAAAACTTGAGATTTCTGTACAACTTCACCATCTCCACCCATCCACTATAATGTTCCAGACACCCCTTTTGGGCTTGTAACCAGTCTCCTATAGCAGCATCTCCCCAAACCTAGATGAAACACAAGACCAGTACACTTTGGCCTACCCTGCCCAACCTGTGTGTCACCCCAGAGCTCTTCAGTGTTTCTCATTTCTATAGGATTTTGCTACACTCTAGCTCCTCACAAATCTGAAATACAGATGTATGAGAAATGCTAATGACTGACAAATGTCAAATATGTAACCCTTATTCCCAGGGTAATATTTACTTTCTTAACCAGTCTTTCCTGTGCACCCCCAAAACATAACTAAGAACAGAACTTTGGAAATGATGTACTCTAGCAAGGGAGATGTTTGAGTGCAAGACTCTGTCCAGTGAGAACTTCACACGACAAATATGGCTGCTACTGGACACCCAGAATATTTCTTTCCCCTCAATCTCCATTTGGTATGGGGCCTGTAGAAAGTGATGTGTATTCTTGGGAATAGAGGCTAAGGAACAAGATCATAATAAAATGAGGTCAGTATGACTACCTACATGGTAACAGCTGTGCCATGAAGCCTATTTTTACAACTAGTAGAAACACATGGAGATAATACAGAGGGAAAGCTAACATCCCAATTCATATCTTCTGATTCAGGAGCTCATGCTCACAGCCTGTCTTAGTTTCTTTTCTCACATTGCTGAGACAAAATACCCTACACCCAAAGGTAAAGGGAGAAAAGTTTATTTAGCTCACAGTCTGTAGAGGTTTCAGTTCATAACCAGCTGACTCCAAGGCAGACCAGTTCATAGTGGGCAGAAGATAGCAAAACAAACAACAGAGGGGAGAGATTAAACTCTGTCTGTCCCTTATACTGTATGTAGGTTATCCAACCCAGGGCACATGTAGAATTCACACCCTTAATCCTAGTCAGAGCAATGCTAAACCAGTCAGCAGAGTGATTCATTAATCGTACACCCCTAACCCCAGCATTGTATACTATAGATTCAGATACCTCTGAAAAAGCCCCATGACTACATAAGGGTTTGGGAGGACATCTAGACACAAACCATAACACAGTCTTTTCCCTTAAACAGTTCTATACAATCTTGGTATTTTTCTTCCTGCAGGATTGGCTTTGCCATCTCGCGGCGTCTTGCCCAGGATGGGGCCCATGTGGTCATCAGCAGTCGGAAACAGAAAAATGTGGACCGTGCAGTGGCCACACTCAAGGGGGAAGGGCTTAGCGTGACAGGCACCGTATGCCACGTGGGGAAGGCGGAGGACCGGAAGCAGCTGGTGGCCATGGTGAGCAGCAGGGCTATGGGCCCTGAGCCAGGAGGTGGCAGAAGGGAGTCAACCTGAGCCTCCATCTCTGCTTTCCTAGATAGCACTGAATCCAACCAAACGCTGCTAAACCATAGTAGTGCATTCATGTACCCACACCAACCTACCAGTATTGTTTGTCCCTTGTTGTTATGTCCATATCTTAAAGCCTAAGAACCATTTTTCCCAAAGAATCAAAAATCACTCTTATGCTTCAGCCCAGCATTATTGCTTGGGCAGCCACCCAAAACAGCTGGTCCTGGTTCTCTAGTAGTTTCCTATGTCACTGTGGAGATAAGAAGAGTAAATACAATAACAAAATAGATGTTCCCACCCATGAGCTAGTAAATGATCCCATGATCCTCAGTTTAGAGTCCTTTACTGGAGGCAGCCCACTATGTTTTAGCCACTCATTTACTGTATGTGCTCTTTATTCTGTTCAGAACCCTACACAGGTTTTCTCTAAACCTGCCAACAACTCAAGCAAGGCAGAGATTATTCTTCCTGTTTACACAGACCAGTTCAGATACCTAGAGACACTTTCCAATGTCCTGCAGCTAGTAAGGAAATAATTGTGATTCAACCCAGACCAAACTCCTTTCCCTTTTTGGCAGCCTACATACTACTGGGCACTTTTCCATTAGCATAAGGCCAGCCCTCAGGCACCCATATGGATTTTAGTCTCAACATATCTAAGCCAGTGTTACAGTGGTACTTGACAGCAGCTTTCCAGTTACACAAGAAAATATGAACTACCTAAGCTGCTCTTCCCTGAAGGGTCAGGTTGTATACTTTATTTCCTGGAGTGAATCCGAGAACCTTACACCAAGGGAAAACATAGGCTTGTGATAACAGATTGGAAGGTTGGCAGAAATAACTTGGATAATCTTAGAAGAGGAGGCTCTTAAATTATTGTCAATAGTAGTATGGTGGGCAGAATAACATAATTCTATTTTTAAGGAATCTTTCAGATGCCCAAATGTGCATTGAAGAAGGTCAGACATGAATCCAAGAAAGTCACCTTGCCTGGAAAAGGTCATTGGAGAGAGCCTGAGATTATGAACTCAATCCTGAGAGTGAAGGGAGACATTTAGAAGCTTTTGCCAATTAGTGACTGGCCATTTGAAATGCAGCAGTTACTTTTTGCAGTGCCGGGGACTGAATCCAGGGCCTCATGTAATTTAATGTCAGAATCCTAGCTGGGTATAGTGCATGCCTCTGGGAGGCTAAAACTGGAAGATCACAAATTCAAGCTCACCCTGAGCAATCTGATGACTTAAGAGACCCTGTCTCAAAATTAAAAAGTAAAGAAAGGACTGTAAACCAGGCATTGTGGTGCACACATGTAATCCCAGCACTTGGGAGGCTGAGGCAGGAAGATCGCTGTGAGTTTGAGGCCAGCCTGGGCTACTTAGTGAGTTCAAGGCCAAGCTAAACTTCTTAGTGAGACCCTGTCTCAAAAAGACAAAAAAATAAAATAATATAAAATAAAATAAGACTATGGATGTAGCACAGTGTAAAGGCTCTGGGTTCAATTCCCAATACTAGAAGGAAAAAAATCCTACTGGTCCTCTCCCCATCCCTGAACCAGATCCAACTATCGGGGCCTGCAGCTCTGGCTCAGAAGTGGGGCTTGAGCTATACCTTGAGGAATAAGTAGACCTGAATGGGAGTGGAAAAACATAGTAAATAACCAGATGGCCCTGCAAAATAAGGAGACAGCCAAAGAGAGACTGAACAAGAGAAGGTAAACTTGTAAGTCCATAGCAGAAGGCATGGGCCCAGGAGCAGTATGGGAAATGGGCTGCCTGAGAAGAACAGAGACAACAGCCTCCCTAGGTCTCTACGTAGGAAATGAGGAATCTGAGGCTTTATGCAGGTTGAAACAGTTATTAAGGAAGGAAGTCTAGCGGTGGTACAAAGGATACAGTAGGACCCTGGACCAAGGACATTAGTGAAGAAGCCATTGTTTCTTGCAGGTCTAGAGCATTGGCAGTGGAATCACAATAAATTGCCCAAGAAATATTTAATAGGAACCAACCAAGAAAAGCTGCTACCATGAGGATGAGTATTATTCTTGGCATCCTGATTTACATCATGATTCTCAAGGCAGTGAATGAAAACCATTATTGATAGCTTCTCCACTTGATTATTCTGTTTCTAAAAAAACAAACAAACAAAAAAACTGTAAGTAAAGGTCAGGACACAGACGACTCCTAACTATGTGGGTACAGTAATCATGTAATTCAGAGCAAGACCTTTAAAGAAGGCTCATAGGTACTTCGCAACCTTCACATCTGTCTCTGTTCAGTCAAAACCAGCCTTCTGACTGGGCATGGTGTCTTACACCTGTAATCTCAGCACTTAGGAGGCTGAGACAGCAGAATCACCGTCAGTGCAAAGCCAGCCTAAATTACATAGTGAAACCAGGTCTAAGAAAAAAATAAACAGCCTTCTCAGGAACCAAGAGGAGACATAAAAAATAGATATGTTATGTACATGTACCAACTTGCAATGATGAACATTAATCATGTACTGGAAACAGGTACTAATATAAATAAATTTTTAAGTGGGGAAAAAACAGCCTTCTCCCCCAGTCAGGTGATTCTGGTGATTTCCAGGATCCTCTTCCCCACCCCATCACATATGTATCACCTCCAACTTGATCTATACCTTCTCAGTTACAAGTCTGACAGTTTGACAGAGCAAAGGCAAGTAACTACCAGTAAATACCCTAGCGCTTTGCAGCACAATGTGAACATTTACAGGGCACAAGAAGGTACTGGCACTAGTTTTAAAAGATTGTGTGACTTTAAATTTTGTTAAATTTATATGTTGACAGCCCAGGCATTCCTTTAGCTGGTATAGAAACAACTGAGCTTAGCACCTCGTTAGCAGGAATAATTAGTTAAAAGGAGAAGGTAGCAGATGGTGTGCATTGTTAATAACACCCCTCCTGTGCCAAATGTGAGGCACAAAGTTGATCAAGGGCCCATTTAGTGTTACTTGCCCAAGGCATCAAAATTGCTAGTTTGGGGCAAATGCAAAGTCTGGCTTCAGGGTGGTTTAGCACTGAATCCTTTGTTGGCCGGTTCTCCTTGGCCAGTCTCTACTCTCACACACGCCTTCACCACCTGCTTTCAACTTATTAAGGAGGTGAGAATCTTCTTTCTTGGATTTCTCAATTTAAACCTCAGTTTCTGCTTCAAATCTTCTGTGCCGTGGGGCCAAAAAGAAAAAGAGAGAAAATGGCATCAAAGCTGAATGCAGAAGTGTTTTAAACCCAGCCTAGAGTCTTCACCATCATAGCGCTCCTGGAGCCAGTTTCATAGTGATCCAACTTGCTTTCAAAGGGCTCCTATGAACTAGCTCTGTACTTACAAAGTACACGAGAAGACTTAATGTCGGGGCTACCAACACTAGCACTGTGCCCTGAGCAAATCCCTTTACGTCTCCAAATGAGCAGGCTTCCTGTTTTAGCCAACCCTAATGCATCATTACCAAGTTATATGACCTTAAAAAATTAACTTCAAGGGCCAAGGATTTAGCTCAGTGGCACAAGTTCCTACCTGGCAAGTATGAGGTCATGAGTTTGATCCCTGGTACCAAAAAAAAATTAATTTCAAACCAGGCATGGTGGCTCACGCCTATAATCTCAACACTTGAGAGGCTGAGGCAGGAGGATCACCACAAGTTCAAGGCTATGCTGGGCTACAGAATGTGTCCAGCCTGAACTAAATAAATAGCAAGACATGTCTCAAAAAAAAAAAAAAAAAAAAAAAAACTTTAACAGACCACATTTTCATCACTCCACTAAGACAACATGGAGCCAGATGATCAAGGCCCCTCCCACTGGTGACCTTTCATGGGTCTATTTAAACCAATTTCTTTATTCAAGTAAGTGTGGACAGGTTGACTCTTGAGATCATGGTACCTTATTCAAGGAGACCAGACAGCCATCACTTGGGGAACTGGGATTGTAATTCCATGTGAATAGATAGGGGGAATGTAGAAATAGATTTTGTAGCCCGAGTTGGAGGCATGAGAATAAAGGAGCTCCCCCAAAAGAAGATGTAGGCAAAAAGTCAGAGACACCCTTCGAAGAAAAGGAGGCTAGAAAGACTGCCAAAGAAATCAGACAACCTTTAATGGTTAGCAGCAAAGATTAGGGTAGCTTTAGCGAGAACGTTTCAAGAAAAGGTAATTTTGACAACTGTTCTTAAGGAGACATTTCTTCTCAACATTGATAAGTGAATGTCCCTGACTTATCTGTGGCCCTAACCCAGATCTCCTCCTTTCTCTAGGCTGTCAACCTTCATGGAGGTATTGATATCCTGGTCTCCAATGCTGCTGTCAACCCCTTCTTTGGAAACCTGATGGATGTCACTGAGGATGTATGGGACAAGGTGAGAAAGGATTAAAGCTGCAAAAGGGCAGGCCTCAGAAAATACTCAGCACAAACCCAGTCTGCTTTTAGAATGTCTTCATTGAGTGCCACATTGATGGGATGTGCCACATACCTGGCACACACCTGGTAAAGGGCAACTGAGGGGGTGGCTTCCTTTATCCTGCTCTTCTTGTTCATCTCTGCTTTGACTTTCTCCCCAGCTTTGCCTTCAGTTTGTTCTCTGCTAGCCACCTTCTGCTTCCCTTCCAGGGTGCTTACCCACGCTCTGCTTCCTGGTTTATTTCCAGCAGAGATGTGGCAGCTAATAGGCCAACAACTAATACACTTAAACTTATACACCCACCCATCCCCTTTTCAGCTGCCAAAATGAAATGCTTTTTCGTTAGCTGGGAAATGTTAATTGCTGCTAGTTAGTGAAATACCAATTCTGGTGACATGACCAAAGTTGCTGCTTCATAACATATGGCCTTTGAAAAAGACCTGTCCTCTTTTCTTCTAAACCACCTACTGTGAAAGCCTGAGAGCCAGATGTCTAATTTCAAATGCTGAAACATTGGATTTTATGTGGTTATGTATGCTTACATCACACTCATATTTCTTCACTTACCTACATCCTCTAATTATAAAGCTTTAATTAAACTATTTGTCTTTATTTACTAAGGTTAATATTCCCATGTAATTTAGAAATACTAAATTTATTATGATCTCCCATCATTTTACTTTTTACACTGACGTCAGTAATTTCTGAACACTGGGGCCGGGGATTTAGCTCAGTGGTGCAGCACCTGCCTGGAAAACCTGAATTCCTAAGTTTGATTGGCAGTACCAAAAATAATAATAATAATAATAGCAATAATAATTTCTGAACACTAAAGTTTAAGGATAACTAAATATTATAATTCATTTATCAGTGTTTCACACACATAAGGACCAAAGTGCCAAAATGTTCTTCGGTAAAACAGTTTTTATTCTGATACTTTGAAATGAAGAATCATCTTCTGTGAATAGTCTAGCCAGTACATGAAAATCAATTTTTAACTAAGTACTTTTTATTTTTAGTTTACATTTTTAATATGATAGTATATCAAACCTAAGTGCAATGGCTGAGCCTTGACTGTACTCTGCAATTTTTTGTTTGTTTTTTGAGACAAGGTCTTACTCTGTAGTGCAGACTGGCCTCAAATTCACAGTGATCCTCCTGCCTCGGACTGAGTGCTGAGGTTGTAGAGGTGCACCACCACACCCAGCTTGAAATTTTTTTAAGATGTGAATTTTGGGTACAATTGTGGAAATTTTGCTATAGAAGGCATAATAGATAAAACTATTATTATCAAAGTACAGCTCTTAAAGATAAAGGAGCAGGCAAAGACTGAACAGAATGCTGATAGCTCAAGCAACAACACCAAGAATCATCAAATTAAAAAACTTCTGTACAGCAAAGGAAATCACCAACACAGTAAAGAGACAAGCTACAGGATAGGAAAAGCTTTTTCCAGCTACTTTTCAGACAAAGGACTAATACTTGGAATATATAAAGAACTCAAAAAAAATCAGACCTCCAAATGTAAAGACCCAGTCAAAAACTGCACATCTAGAATGAGTAGACACTTCTCAAATGAAGTACAAATGATTAATAAGTACATGAAAAATTTTCAACATGACTGGCCGTTCAAGAAGTGCAAATTAAAACAACACTGAACTTCTATATCATTTCAGAAGGAATGGCTATCTTCAAGAAATGAATGGCTGGAGAGGCTTCAGGGTGAGGGGTGACCCTTTTTCATTGATAGTGGAAGTATAAACTGGTACAAGGACTAAGGATATCAGCATAGAAACTCTTAAAAAATAAAAATAAAAATAGAAATTCCATTTGACCAAGCTATTTCCCTTCTAGGTATCTCCCTAAGAGAGTTAAACATATCACATTACAGAGACACATGCATAACCATGTCTATACCCACGTTTATAATAGCTAACTCTTGGAAATAGCCTATATCTATCAACAGATGAATGGATAGAGAAAATGTCATATTTATATACAAAGTGCTACTGTGTCACAAAGGATAAACTTAGCTGTTTGTAGGAAAATGGGTCCATAATGTTAAGTAAAGTAAATCAGATACATAAGCTTAAATATCACATGGTTTCTCTCAAATGAGAAATCCAAATTGTAAACAAAGTGCAAAATAAAAGACAGACAATAGAAAAAAACTTACCAGTGTTAAATTTCTTGTATGTGCTAATGAATTGTGGTTGTGTGAGAGAATGCTTTTTGTCCTTGGACATGTATATAGAGTTACATGTATGTACTTTCAGCATGATCATGTCCGCAACCTCATTTCAATGGTTCATTAAAAAAAAAAAAAAAACTGGATGGGTACATAGAACAAATGAAGCAAAAATGTGAACGATGAATGAATCTAGGTGAAAGGTAGCCGTGCAGTCACTATGCTTTTATTACAACTTTTTTTTTCACAAGATTGAAGTCTTTCAGAATAATTGACCTGGAGCATAGGAGTGGAATGTCCCAATATCATTTATGTTAGGAAAATGCAACAAGATCCTACCATTGCTTCAAACTGAGACTGTAGATGCTTTTATTTTGGCCTATGCCCCCAGCTTCCCAGAAAGAATCTCCTTAAGATCTCACTTTCTAATAAATGTCCAGCTAGATCATCCATCCTGGAGGCCCAAAATCATCCATTCTCTAACCCCAGAAGCCAGAGAAGTACCTAAACCACCACAGGTCAGGACACGTCTTCCCACAGCCCACTCTGGATCCAATTCAGGTTCTCCCTACATGGAAGAAACACATGAAAACCTAGCTCAAGTCCAAAGCTGCCCTGAGAATTTAGGTTCATTCCAGGCCTCATCATAGTTGGCCGCTTAGGAGAGATGAGCCAGGCTCCATTCTTTCTCACCTCAACCTAATGTTCTCCATGCAGCTGAATGAGCTTGTAAGAGGTACATCTCCCCAAACCCTGGCTTCTTTCCTTATCAGGCCAGGGCAAATTATTCCTGAAGTCTTCAGCTCCAACAAACAGATCCTGGGAGCACATAGTGACTTCCCATCACAGTACTCTTCTCAAGCTGTTTCCCCTTCTCTGTTTCAGACTCTGGACATTAATGTGAAGGCCACAGCTCTGATGACAAAAGAAGTGGTGCCAGAGATGGAGAAACGAGGGTACAGAGAGTGAGAGGGGGTCTGAGGGCAGTGGTCTCCAGTGGAAAGAGAATCAGCTCTCTTTTTTATTTCCAGAGGTGGCTCTGTGGTGATTGTGTCGTCCGTAGCAGCCTTCACACCATTTCATGTAAGAACCCCTTTGTCACTTCTAGCCAGCTCTTCATTTCACATCTTTCCACCCCTGCAGTTGCCCAAAGAAATATGTGTCCTGTTTTACAATCACATCACCAAGTGCTTTCCCAGAGATGCCTGCCTCCATGAACTGTAACTGCAACCATCCCTTTAAAGAGACACCTACGGACCACAGCACTTGATAACAAATAAGAACCAAGAATGAGGGACTGGGGATTTAGCTCAGTGGCATAAGCGCCTGCCTTGCAAGCAGGCAGTCGTGAGTTCCATCCCCGGTACCGATAAAAAGGGAAAAGACAAAAAAAAAAAAAAAAAAAAAAAAAGAATCAAGAATGACCTGGAAACTAACAGATTAACCCATTCTCTTCTTTCTCCAGGGCCTGGGTCCTTACAATGTTAGTAAAACAGCCTTATTGGGCCTTACCAAGAACCTGGCCTTAGAGCTGGCTCCAAAAAACATTAGAGTGAACTGCCTGGCGCCTGGACTCATCAAGACTAATTTCAGCAGTATGGTGAGCAAGGGAAACCCTGCAGTCCACTGGGACTCTTTGAAGAGCATCCATCTTTTTGGATAGGGAAGCCTACTACCTGCATCCTTGAGCTTTTACTCACTTCCATTCCCTCCACATACCAGCTGCCCTTCCCAGGCCAGATCCACACATACTCCTTTCCTGAGATGCAGGGTAGAGAGACTGGAATTAAAATTCTACCCACTGTTTCATATCTCCTAAAGTGCATGAGAGTTGAGGAGACCCAGCAAGATACACAGGTCTAGATCATTCACTGGGGCTAAAAGAATGGAACAGAAGAGGGCAATGGGGAGAGCTAGGAACCAAGAAGCAACAGCGAGTAAAAGGAGAAGTCTTTCCATCCTTCTCATTGGATGGAGGGACAATTTCCTCCCTCAGTTTGCTGTTCCTCTGTTTCCTCTATTTGCACATAAAGACATTCCCCTTTTTCCTGCAGTTTTGGATGGACAAGACAAAAGAGGAAAATGCAAAAAATTTCATGCAAATTGAAAGGTAAGCTGTCACAGGGATGATTAGGAGGGATAAAGGTAGAAAAGTCTGATCCCCAGTGTAGCCCACCACGCACTGTCTTGGTTCCATAGATAACAGGGCCATGCTCTTTCGTGCCTCACAGACTTCAAAGTTCATAAACTCTTCATTGCAGAGGGCTTACCAAGGAGGCTGCTTCCATTACAAAAAGCATAGGCATCAAGGTTTCAGTAAAGCCAAACTGAGAAAAGAGCCCTGACTTCCTTTCCTGTCTGCCTCCACCTCTGTGGAAACTAGAAATCACCAAAACCAAAACCATGCTATTTTAGTTAATTCACCCTTAGTTAATAAAGAGTCATGTTTCCAAAGCTTGGGTTGATGATCCTACAATCCAAATAAAAGGACTGAAGGGATTTACTAAGCTCCAAATTCTTTTGCATAAGGAAATTATTGTTTTCCCCAATGGACTAGCTAAACTATTCAGACACCTTTGCTGAACTCTCTTTCGTTTAACCCTTTTCCCACTCTCTGGCTCTTGGGCACTCTTGTCTGTTTTCTCCATCTTGACCCCTCAAGGACAACTGCCAGCAGTGCATACCTCTTTACTGGTCCAAACATCTCAGACATAAATCCTCCCAAAGCCATTCTGATGGCAGGCATGAGCTGCAGGCCTAATATACAACTCATAAATCTGGGTATTGTCACCTAGTGCACCAATGAATGACCTGGCCCCATGCATCTCAATGCTGGGCACACATTAGAATCACCTGGGGAACTTTCCAAACCAGTTTTTCAGACCAGAGCAGAGATTCTTCTTTACTTGGTCCAAGATGGAAACTGCACATCTTTTTTTTTTTTTTTAAGTCTCTTGAATTCCAAATAACTGCAATATACAGCTAGATTGGGGATCCACTAATCTAAGCCTTGTAGATTTGAGCCACACACTTTACCCACCTCTATGCTATGGCAGTCAGTTTAAGTGTTCCTAACTATGGAATCACTAATACAATGACAGTCAGCACATTCTTACAAAAACAATGATCTGAAATGACAAAAATAAATTCCTAAAGAAGTAGTCTACAAAAGATATCATTTTAAACACATCATTTACTGTCACAGACTCCCTGACCCTTGAATAGTATGCATACATGTGAGACCAATTCTTTTCAAGTAAAAAATAATCACTCACCATTTTACCAATACAACTTTAGATTTTGGTGTTTTGAGCACTTTAAAAAGCAGAGTGTCCTTATATGATTTGCATATAATTGTAATTGCTTCTGCAGAATGTTTATTCTTATAATAAATTATAACAACATCCTTATAGTAAGCAAAAAACTCTTAGACTGTATCTGAAAAATCATCTAATAATTCTTGGTTGAGCAAATTTCACTGGGCCAGGTGATGGGGCCTTGCCTTTTTGGGTTTTACTCCCTTCCTTATTTCCCCTGTCCTCCAGGATCGGCAAGCCAGAGGAGTGTGCAGGCATCGTGTCTTTTATGTGCTCTGAAGACGCCAGCTACATCACAGGGGAGACGGTGGTGGTAGGGGGAGGAACCCCATCACGCCTCTGAGGCCCACCTCTGCCTGTCATTCTACTCACCCTACAAAATCAGTTCTGCACTGTGATAAGTTCCAACCCTTCCAGTCAAGAAGTTCTGATGAAGGTTCTCACTGTTGCTGTGGCCTTGGATAAAGGCTTCCTTGAGAACACAGTGCTTGCCTGCTGAGAAGCCTGCATCTACCTTGGCAAAGACCAACAAATATTTTTTACCTAGATCTCTGGGGAATTTGAGGGGAGATGGGAGAGAGCCTGGAGTGGAAGGAGCAGAGCTGAAAATCAACAGCTTGGAAATGAGGTGCAAATAAAATGCAAATGATCGCCTCGCTCTGAATCAGTGTTCATTTCTCAGTGTGGGGTGCTTAGATATGGCAACTGAGCAGAGAGCAGAAGTCTGGGCAGGCTGCCGCTCTGGATCCCCCATCCCTCCTCCCTGTCTCCAGGACCTGAGCTTGCAGCTCAAGGGTGGAGGTGTCTGCAGAGCTGCCAGCTGGGAGGAGATGGCTCCGGAACTCCCAGGTGCTACTCTCAGCCTCACACACCCAGGGATGAGTGCCAAGGAAGCCATGGGATGCCCGAAGCTGGGTGGGAAAGCAGGAAAGGACGAACTCCCCCAGAAGCACCCAAGTCCTCTCCTGGCATCGCCCCTGGTTCGGAATTCCCTCCAGGGTCAGCAAGGACAAGCTGGACTGGTCTTGAGCAGGCGGGGGTTAAAGGGAGGGAGCCCTATTAGGATGACCCGCGGTGGGTGGGTACCCAGGCTCATCAACAAAGACATTGGGGGGTGGGATTCCACTTTGGGTGACCGAGAAGAGTGGGTAGCACAGCGAGCGGGAATGCTGCCCTACGCCCCAGAGACAGAGGGGACACCACGCGACACGCACCAAGCCGCTCACGAGGAAGCCCGCGGGAGGAGTCTGCGTGAGCGCGCGCGCGGGGGTCTCACGCGGCTCGGCAGTGATGCGCGCATGCTCGGTCTCGCACACTCCGGGCGGGGCGGGAGGCCCGGCGCTCCGGGGCGGGGGAGGAGCGCTCGCGCAGCCGCCCCTGACAGGCGCGGGCTCGGCGGCGGCTGCAGCGCGCAGCGCTGGGCCCTGCCGGAGCCGGGACTAGCATGTGCCGCGGCTCCCCGGCGGCGGCGGCGGCGGCGGCGGCGGCGGCGGCTCCTCTGCAGAAGCAGCAGCGGCCACCATGGCCAAGGCCAGCGTGGAGCTCACCCGCGAGCTGCAAGGTACGAGGTCGCCTAGGTCCCCAGGACGCCCCATCCGGGAGCATCCCAGACCCAGCATTTTACTGCCCGCGGTACACCCCAGTCTGGCGCCGGCGACCCCTCGTGCTTCCTCGCTCCAAAGCAGCCCCTACCCCTTCGTCCCTACGCGGGAATAGCTGTCCCCGAGCATCCTCCTCTGCTCGCCTCACCCCATGAGGACCTTCCTGTCCTGGCACCGCCCGTCCCGCTCTTTGGTGACAGGTGCAGTTCTCCTGTGCTGCCCGAGGCCGGCTGTCAGTATTCCTGACCCACCCCTCGGCGAGGCGTCGGGTCTCCCCTCCGGAGAGTCCCCGCTTCCCCCACCCGCGCCGGGCGGAGCTAGGCGATGGGAGCCGCGAGGTCCTGACCGCTGTTGGTCTCGGTACCCTCCCTCCCCTCCGCCCCGCCCCGCCCCGGAACTGGCCCTGGAGATGCTCTAGGAGATTGGCTGCGCCTAGGCCAGAAGGACAGAGGGAGTCAGGGGAAGAGCACCTGGGTTGGAGCAAAATCCGAGAGCAAGATCTCTTCGACTCACACTCTGCAGTCCCAACCTGTCCCCTTCTCAACACCCACCACCCACATCTACAGGCTTCACCCAATTACTGAGCTCCAGACTCAGTCCAAACCAAGGCTGGCACCCAGCACTGCCACAGCCCTGACCCCCAGAGGCGGGAGCACAGGCTAGCCTACGCAGAGAGCAGGATGCTCAAGGATACTCAGAGCCGTGCTGTACTGTGGAGATTCCCCACACCTACACATGCATGAGAATACCACCATGAGATGTGTGTCTTTACAGGAACTGCACCCCACCACCACCACACATGCATACTCTGGGCTATCTGGATAATTCTGCCAGCAGATGGGTATGGGGCTCATTTACACACTAAAATCCTTCCCCTCACCCGGTCTGGCACTGTTCCCCTTTCATAGCTACAAGCCAGCATACTGGTTCACACTTCTCCATCCCCATCAATGCCATGCTCATGCTCTTGGAGTCATCAGAAGTATGCACACACCCAGAGTAAAGGCAGCCTCACATCCAGACCACCTAGATTTCATCAAGGGACGCCCCCACACCCCTACAAACTGACTCACTGTGTATGTGTTGATGGCTCCTGTAGTATATGGGTTAGAAACATCCTCACACCCTCAGAAGTGTAAGACACACCCTCCCACAGACACTGTCACTCAGCAACTGTCCCCTGAGTCAGGGACACCAGGAGCCAGAGATTTCAGCACAGGAGATTCCCTCTAACAGGCGAAGTTACTCAAGAAGGAAGAGTCTCTGTCCTATACTTTGCCCTTATTTCCCTCTCTCATCTGCCTCTGGCTCTGCTTCTCTCTGGGGAGCCCTGGGAGGTGGGGATGGCCCAGGGTAAAGGGAGCTCTGAGCAGGCCCCCATCCACCTGCAGACAGTATCCGGAGGTGCCTGAGCCAAGGGGCTGTGCTCCAGCAACATCGTGTGAAGCTAGAGACGAAGCCCAAGAAGTTTGAGGACAGAGTGCTGGTGAGGGCACTGGTCTGGGAGGGAGGGAGAAATTGGGCAGGAGAGACAGAAGTGGGGAAGAGCTGAGGAGACAAAGCTGGGGAGGGTGGACTGGCTTAAGTCCAGGAGCCTAAGGTAGGGCAGGAGAGGAGGCACAGCAGAGCTGAGTGGACTAAAGGAGGGCAGGGCACCAGTGCCCAGGCAGCTACCATGAACCACCCATGCTCTTTCATGCAGGCCCTGACCTCCTGGCGCCTCCACCTCTTCCCCCTTAAGGTCCCTGCCAAGGTGAGTCAGGTGGAGAAATGGAGGATACCTGGCATGTTTCTTCCTATGCCTGGCAAGCAGGCTTTTACGAAGAGGTGGGCATCCCTGTCCCTCCAGGTGGAGAGCTCCTTCAATGTCCTGGAGATCCGAGCCTTTAACACCCTTAGTCAGAACCAGGTGAGCACCAGGACTCAGCCTGCTGTTGGGCCAGCTGGAGAAGGAAGTCAGTGTCTGAGGCTGTCTGCTCCCTATCCTCCAGATCCTGGTGGAGACTGAGCGAGGCATGGTGAGCATGCGGCTACCATCAGCTGAGAGCGTGGACCAGGTGACACGACATGTGAGCTCTGCCCTCTCCAAGGTCTGCCCTGGCCCTGGGTGAGTGGCAGTCAAAGGCCCTTTGAGGGATTAAACAAGGAAACCTCTTCCCCTGCTTCTAGGCTTCTGAGACACAAGAAGAATGCACTATCTCCCTCTTGCTTTTTCCTGCATTTAGAAGCTATAATTTGGGAAGAATTGAGAGCCTCTTTCCACCACTGTCTGAGATTATTTGTTCATCTTACAGGTGTTTGATCCGGCGTGGAAATGCAGACACCCCAGAGGGACCCAGAGACACATCCCCCAACTCTGAGACTTCCACATCTACCACACACAGTGTGTGTGGTGAGCAGGGGCAACATGAGCACTGTGAGGCCAAGACCACCTTGTTCCATGCCCAGAGCATGTGGTTTTGTTAGATAGGCTTTTGCCTACCCTAATGACTTCCCAGCTCACAGATTTCAGGAGGCTCATAGGGTAGCAGAAACCTAGGACACTAGTACCTTCAGTAACCTTGACTGTTCCTTGAACCCCAAGCCTCCTCCCCATCCTCTTACCATTCATGAAGCCAGTCCATCTGTCACCCCACAGGTGGCTTCTCTGAGACCTACGCTGCCCTGTGTGACTACAATGGGCTGCACTGCCGTGAAGAAGTGCAGTGGGTATGTGGGGCTGGAACCCAGCAGGGAGTCCCAGGTGGGATCCAGAGGGAGGAGGCAGAGGAAGGGTGGGGAGTGAGTATGAGCCGGTTCCACCTCTCCAAGGATGTAGACACCATCTACCATGCTGAAGATAACCGCGAGTTCAATCTTTTGGATTTCAGCCACCTGGAGAGCCGGTAAGCAGATGGGGCCGAGACTGAACCCCAAAACATTCCCAACCCTGACCCTAACCAGGATCTCCCTTCTAGTCCTACCCACACCTCCCGCTTTATCTCCTTAACCTCCCCTACTTCTACTGCCATCTAGACATCAAGATTTCCCCAAGCTAGCCCCCAACCCCTGGCTTCTTCTTTCCTATTTACAACCACCTGCTTACTGAGTCCCATCCCTTCAATGTCCCCACAGAGACTTGGCCCTAATGGTGGCAGCCCTGGCCTACAATCAGTGGTTCACCAAACTCTACTGCAAAGACCTACGGCTGGTAGGAATTAGGAAGGGCTGAGGAAGGGGAGAGTAGTGTCCTCCTTGACCCCTAATCCCAGGACCTTTGCATCCTCAGGGCTCAGAAGTGCTCGAACAGGTGCTACATACTCTGAGCAAGTCGGGGAGCCTCGAAGAGCTGGTGCTGGACAATGCCGGGCTTAAGACGTGAGGCCAGCTTCCTCTGTGGCCAGGGATGTCCCTGCCATGTAGTCTTAGGGTCCCAAAACCTCAGAGTATGATACTGGTCCTTGAACCATCTCATCCAGCTCCTATCTTTAGAAAGGAGTCTGAGGCCCAGACAGGCCAGAAAGCAAACCAGCAGTGAAGCTAGGACTCAGAATTCAGCCTCCTGATGCATTCAAGGCTTTCTCCAATGTACTCCATGCCCTGTCATCCCTTCCTGTCAACTACCTAGCAGGGTGGGCTGCTCCAGTCTTGAAGACACAAAACTGGGCTTTGTCTGAGCACAACTCCTACGGTGTAGAATGCCCCCAAATACTCCAGAGAGGTGATGAGGTCCCTGGCAGACCCCTGTGGGGAAGCCTTTGTGCTCTGACCATTGCAGCCCCAGCCAGGCAGGCAGGTAGAAAAGGAGGGGAACTCAGGAGCTGAGACTGGGGCTCAGCTCAGGACAAATCCTTCCTCCCCTTCCCTGAAGGGACTTTGTCCAGAAGCTGGCCGGGGTGTTTGGGGAGAACGGGAGCTGTGTGCTGCATGCCCTCACTCTGTCCCACAACCCCATCGAGGACAAGGGTGAGCCCAACCCTGAATCTTATTCCTTCTACATGCAGAGCCCATCCTAGCCCAGAGCCCAACCCAGGTCTGAACAGGGGCTCTTCAACCTGATGACAGCCCCTGTCCCTGCACCTCTACCCTTTACCCCAGGCCTGGACCCCACTCAATCCCCATCAGACTCTCCACCCCTTTCCCAGCCTCTCACAGGGCCAATTCTCTCTCCACTGCCCAGGTTTCCTCAGTCTAAGCCAGCAGCTCCTCTGCTTCCCTACTGGCCTCACCAAGCTGTGCCTGGCCAAGACTGCCATTTCCCCTCGAGGTATTCACACCAGGACCCCTGACCTCTGATCTCGGTCTTCTCCAAGTGCCCTGAAATGTTGAGACCCAAACATGCAACCACACACTCACACACCACCTCAGGGATCGATGGAGGAAAAGGAATCACATTATGGGAGCGGGCAAGAGTTGTATACAGAAGGGGAAAGGTGGGGATGGGGGCCAACCCAGCCCAGTGCCCGCTGTGCTCAGGGCTCCAGGCGCTGGGCCAGACCTTCGGGGCCAACCCGGCCTTTGCCAGCTCCCTTCGGTACCTGGATCTAAGCAAGAATCCTGGGCTGCTCACCACAGATGAAGCCAACGTGAGTGCATGGAGTGTTGCCTCAAGCCCTTGCAGAGAAGCGCAATCAGGCTTTGGGACCTGAGAGTCTTCTGCTGTGCAGCCCCTGGGTCGGAGAACCTCTTCCATCCCTCCCCCTGAAGTCTCTCTGTCCTCTCTTCCTCAGGCCCTCTATAGTTTCCTGGCCCAACCCAATGCCCTGGTGCACCTGGACCTGTCAGGGACTGACTGCATGGTCGACCTGGTGAGGGGCTGGTGATGCAGGGAGTCAGGCAGAAGAGATTTGAGGAGGCCAGGGTGATGTCTATCTCACATCAGCTTCTCTGAGTGCAGGGGGGGGCAGAGCAGCCAGGATGACTTCAGTTTCAGCTGTCGCTCATACCTGTGTGCATTTATACAGAGCAGAAGACTGTGCCAAAAACCATCCCCCCACTCCATTCCCTGATGTGTACCCTTGACTCAGGGTTGTTCCACTAGTAGGAAAGGATGAGTCCCCTAACTTGCGAAGGTACCCTGGGAGCTAGCTGTGGCCCTGCTTTATCCACCCACGGCCTCTGAGTTTTTTCACACATAGCCAGGCAAGCAATACACCCATTTTCCACTAAGAAGAAAAACAGAGCCTTTGAGGCCAAGCATGGCAGTGCATGGAGGCTGAGGCAGGAGGATCCCAAGTTTAAGCCTGGATAAGGCAATTTATTGAGACCCTGTCTCAAAATAAAAAATAAAAGGACCTGGGAATGTAGCTCACTGCAAAGGCCCTGGGTTCAATCCTCACTACTGGAAAAAAAAAAAAAAAAAAGACTTATAAAGCATAGAGGAAAGAGCACACAGAAAGATAGAGGCTGAGACCTTGAAGGTGGGGGGAGTCCTCTGCACCCCACTTTTGTCCTCCCCCAACTCCTCTGAAACCCACCATCTCTCTCCTTACAGCTTCTGGGTGCCCTGCTCCATGGCTGCTGCTCCCACCTCACCTACCTCAACCTGGCTCGCAACAGCTGCACCCACAGGTAAGGTCAGGAGAGCCAGGGAGGGATGGAGGAAGCTGTGGCTCACCCCCTCCTTTGCTGATCCCAGGAGTCTCCACAGGAAGGGCCGGGAGGCCCCGCCGGCCTTCAAGCAGTTCTTCAGCAGCGCCTACACACTGAGCCATGTCAACCTGTCGGCCACAAGGCTGCCCCTGGAGGCCCTCAGGTCCGGTGGGTGTGGGGTTGGGGGAGCCAAAGGAGCCACAGGGGTGTGGGGAGGAGTGAATGTGGGCCTATGACCCTCCTCCCACAGGGCGCTGCTTCAGGGCCTCTCCCTCAACAGCCACCTCAGTGACCTGCACCTGGACCTCAGCAGCTGTGAGGTGAGTCCTCTTGTCTCCCCACCCAGCCACCTGCCCCTTACCTCCACTTTAGTATTCATTTTTCCAACCCAAGTCAAAAACTGGCTCCATCTTACCTCTGCACTTACCTGCTGCAGCTCCCTGCCCTGACCCTACCTCTACTTGCCTCTCGGACAAGGTCTGTGGCCTTCCTTCCAGGGGCCATTCATTTTCATGTGCCGAATTAGTAACTGCCCCCAAAGCTTTGGGTGGGAGATACCAGGCTTTCCCAGCAGAGGGCAGAAGCAGGCTGTCTCAGTATGGCTGAGGGAAGTGAGAAGCTCTTAGGGAAGCATGGACCATGGTTGAAGGGGTCTCCTGATTTTACACCCAAAACCGGTTATGACTGTGAGTCTGCAGATGACTGCTCTGGTCTCTAAAAGTTAAAGGTGCCCTGTCACCCACTCCAAACCCTATCTTCTGTGCCTTATCCTATCACTGCAGCTACGTTCAGCAGGTGCCCAGGCCTTGCAGGAGCAGCTGGGATCCATCACCTGTGTGGGCAGCCTTGATCTGTCAGACAATGGTGAGTAGGCTGCCTCCTTGAGCAGGAAAAGAAGCCCTGAGCAAACTATGGAAAGCCTCAGGCTTCAAGGCGAGGCCTCTCCCATCCACTGACCAGGGTTCGACTCAGACCTCCTGACATTGGTGCCTGCACTTGGCAAGAACAAGTCCCTCAAGCACCTGTTCCTGGGCAAGAACTTCAATGTCAAGGCCAAGTGAGCCCCCACTACCACACCCACAGCTCGCTGTCCTATCATCCACCCATCCTAGACTCTTGCATGACCTCCGGCCACCTCTCTCCTCTAGTAGCATGACTCCAGCCCCCGCCCCCTACTCTGAGTCCTGCCTCCCCACAGGACCCTGGAGGAGATTCTACACAAGTTGGTACAGCTGATCCAGGAAGAGGACTGTGTGAGTGACTGGCCCTGGGAGGGGACCCGCAGTGGCAGGGGCTGCAGGGACTGGGCCCAACCCCCACTTGCTGCTCAGTCCCTGCAGTCACTGTCGGTGGCAGACTCCCGGCTGAAACTCCGAACCAGCATCCTCATCAATGCCCTGGGCAGCAACACCTGCCTGGCCAAGGTGGATCTGAGTGGCAATGGGATGGAGGACATTGGGGCCAAGATGCTGTCCAAGGCCTTGCAGATAAACTCCTCCCTCAGGTGATGCCAACACCTAGACCCTCAGACCCTGAGCCCCAAGACTGTCCTTGGTGGGCTCCATGCCCTGTTCCCCACCCTGTGGAAAACAGTCTCAGAACTGGCTCTGAGTCCACTTCAGTAGCCAGGAGAGAAGGGAGGGTCCATCCCTGGCCCACAAAGAGCACACAGAGAAAGAGGGATGACAAACTGGAACTCATCCTCTCCCCAGAACTATCCTATGGGATCGGAATAATACATCTGCCTTGGGCTTCCTGGACATCGCAAGGGCTCTGGAGAGGTGAGTTGACCAAGGCCCTCCCCTGATTCAAACCCCAGCCACCCTGTGCCAGGACCAGGTATGAGCTTCCCCAGCTGCGCCCCAATCTCCTTGGCTTATTCACACAGAAAACTGTGGAAGGACTGGGGTGTGGTGACGCACACCTGTAATCCCAGCACGGAGGCTGAGGCAGGAGGATTACCACCAGTTCAAAGCCAGCCTGGGCTACATAGTGAGTTCAAGGCCAGCCTGAACTACATAGTGAGACCCTGTCTCAAAATTTAAAAAAAAATGAGGAAGGGCCAATGAAAGAGGGAATGGTGAGAAAAGGATAGGTTTTGGGAAGCCAGGCCTCTCATTTTTTTAGGTGTTTCCCCACCCAGCTGTACTGTCATGTCCCACAGCAACCACACACTGCGCTTCATGTCCTTCCCGGTGAGTGACATCTCCCAAGCCTACCGCAGTGCTCCTGAGCGCACTGAAGACGTCTGGCAGAAGGTGCGGGGTGCTGTGCTGAGAGGGGGGGCTAACATAGGGCAGAAGGCAACCCACATCCCACCCCTGACCCTGTCCACTGCATCGTCTCCAGATCCAGTGGTGCCTGGTGAGGAACAACCACTCCCAAACCTGTCCCCAGGAGCAGGCATTCAGGCTACAGCAGGGCCTGGTGACCAGCAGCGCCGAGCAAGTAAACATTTCCCTCCAGGACACATGGGGCAGGCACGGGGCTCTCAGGGCACAGGAGTGATGTGGAGCACACAGGGTGGGGGCATGAAGAGGTGTCACATGGCCGCTATAACTGGGCTGAGCAAGTAGGGGAGCAAGAAGACAGGAAATTCAGAATATGGGCCCTTATATATGTAGACAAGTAGTAGGTAGCCCCCAGATGAGGCATACAAAGGACTTGAGGAGTTCCACAGGGCATTCAAAAAGGGCTTACCAGGAGTGACAAGGCCACCCAGAGTCATTACCACCACCACCATCAGGAAGGTACCAGTAGCACCCGGAGGCCCGACTTGGGACACTTGACACTCCTGCCCCTGTGATCCAGATGCTGCAGCGGCTGTGTGGACGAGTGCAGGAGGAGGTGCGGGCCCTGAGGCTGTGCCCCTTGGAGCCTGTGCAGGATGAACTTCTCTATGCTCGGGACCTCATCAAGGATGCCAAGAACTCCCGGGCGGTGAGCCCTCCAATATGCTAACCCAAGCAGTCCAGGCATTGCTCTGTGCCTCTGTCCTCCCAACCCAAGGCCCCCAAGGATCTCCTAAATCCTGATTCTGATCTCTGAACCATACTCCTTCCTTCCTCAGCTGTTTCCCAGTCTCTATGAGCTGGGCCATGTGCTGGCCAATGATGGGCCTGTGCGGCAGAGGCTGGAGTCGGTGGCCAGTGAGGTGTCGAAAGCTGTGGACAAGGAGCTGCAGGCAAGTTCTGCAGGAGGGAGGAAGCCATGTGGGAGCTCAGCCTTCACCAGGGCCCTAAGCTAAAAGCTGATGTCACAGCAGGAAAATTATTGGAGGGCAAGACGGAAACGCACAGAGCTGAGACTACCCACAGTTCCCCTGTGCCAAAATAATATGAGTCCTGGATATCTTTTCTGACAGCTCCTATTTTGAACCCTGAACTCTTGCCTCTTCCCTCTCTGTATTCTGATCTGTCTCTCCCCCTATCTGTATGGTAGGGTATAAAGAGCACTGACCAAGAAATGGGGAAGCCTGAGTGTCCAAGGCTCTGACACAGCCATGTGCTCTTTGGCAGGTCTCTCAGTCTCACTGCAAGGACTGCAAGAGATAGGCTAAAGCCTCTTCTCCTGCAGCACAAGCTCTGACCCTGTCCCCTGGGGGCTGTGGCCTCTTTTCCCTTCATTAGGTGATCCTGGAGTCCATGGTCAGCCTAACACAGGAGTTATGCCCTGTGGCCATGCGGGTGGCTGAGGGCCACAACAAAATGCTGAGCAACGTGGCAGAGCGCGTCACTGTGCCCCGAAACTTCATCCGAGGGGCACTGCTGGAGCAAGCAGGACAGGACATTCAGAACAAGCTGGAGTGAGAGACTGAGGCTTGGTCCTGGGGAGGGGCTGGATTTGGCCCAGAGCACTTAGGGACTGTTATTATCAGCAATGAATAATAAATGAAAAATCTCTATTACAAGGGATAAATCTTTAACTGAGTGCAACCTTTGTATTTAGGGTCTGCCTAGTCTTTGCCCTAGAAATCTTAGTGCTGAGTTGGGGTTTAGGAACCAGGTAGTGCACAAACAAGTGTACACACACAAACTCGCACGCATACACCAAGAACTGCCACCAAGAAAACACAACCTCCTCAGAGACCGGGCGAAGAAAAATGATGCAAGACAGGTGTGTAGGGAACCCCTCTCCTCCAGCCAGTCTGCACTGCACTCAGTTCTTTCCTTCTGGGTGAGGGTGCTACCGTGTACCAAAGCAAGGGGAAATGAGTATGCATACCTAGGAAACAGCCAGACTCAAAAAGTGCTGGTTTCTACTCTTGCTGCATGCAAAGGTTTACTCAGCACCCAAACTTATCTAGCTGTGTTCCCCTGGAGCATCTGACCTGGAGCCTCCTCCTCTTTCACTTTCTCTTGGCCCTTACACTCCTTGGGCTGGGGAGGTCAGTGAGTGGGGTGAGTCTTGAGCATGGTAGCCCTGAGTGCCTCCTACAGCAACCATGTTCTGTGTGGGCAGCCAGGCCAGCTGGCCCATTCTCTCAGGCGTCCAGGCAAGGAGGTGCTGAGGCTCGGAGGCCAGGCAGGAGCTGGCTAAGCAGTCTCACCTATGCCCACAGTGAGGTGAAGCTATCAGTTGTCACCTATTTGACCAACTCCATAGTGGACGAGATCCTGCAGGAGCTGTACCATTCCCACAAGAGCCTGGTAAGACCAAACTCATCTAGGCTCCCTCCCCCTCCAGACGCTTGCAGGCAGGCAACCATCCTGAGATCCTGTTCACACCTGTCTTCCCCAGGCTCGGCACCTGACCCAGCTAAGGACGCTGTCAGATCCACAAGGAGGGCCAAGCCAAGGACAGGATCTGTCCTCTCGAGGCCGAGGCCGGAACCACGACCATGAGGAGACCACAGATGATGAACTTGGAACCAACATTGTGAGCCCCTGCATCTTTCCCTCTCCCTTAACCTGGGTCTGCCCCTTGAACCTCCATTTGTCTGGACTCCACTGTCCAGCTTGCTGTGCCTGACGAGCCCCTTCCCTCATCCCAGTGTCTCAGCTGCCCGAAGAGAGAGCCAAGATGGGCTCTAAAAAGGCTATATGAGGATTGGGAGGCCTCAGGTGAGGATCTAGGATTTGAGACCCAACCTCCCCTTTGTCTTTGTTCCTGCAGGACACTATGGCCATCAAAAAGCAGAAACGCTGCCGTAAGATCCGCCCAGTGTCCGCCTTCATCAGTGAGTCCCACTAATGTCTGCCAGGCTCCTGCCTTTTCTCAGGCCATTTCCCTTTCTTTGTTCTCTACTTCTCCACCCTCGTGTCTCCCTCTCCTTGTTGCTAGTCCCTCTAACAGTGCTGTGTCCACAGGTGGGAGCCCTCAGGACATGGAAAGTCAACTAGGGAATCTGGGGATCCCCCCTGGCTGGTTCTCAGGACTCGGGGGCAGCCAGCCCACAGCTAGTGGCTCCTGGGAAGGTCTCTCTGAGCTGCCCACTCATGGCTATAAACTGAGACATCAAACACAAGGGAGGCCCCGGCCCCCCAGGACCACCCCTCCAGGACCTGGCAGGCCCAGTGTGAGTGCCAAAGGTCTTGCAAGAGGACCAACTTTCCTTAACAATGCCAGAACAAGGAGTTCTGTCTTTGGGAATTGGGACAGGACTCCAGGCAAGCAGTAAAACTATGGAGGGATTATCCACTTTGGAGGAGAACTATACCTTATTACAGGTATAAAATCTCTGTCTAGCCAAGCTTGGTGGCACATACTTATAGTCGCAGCTACTCCAGAGGCTGAGGCAGGAGAATAACTTGAGCCCATGAGTTTGAGACCAACAACATAGGCTACACACCAAGACCCCATCTCAGAAAGAGAAAAAAGTCTTTGCAAGACAGTGACATTCTCATTTTGGTAAAGGATAAAGCCAAGAGCCACCAAGCTTAGAAGATGCCCAGGCAAACTGAAGTCTAAATTTGCATGGAGCCAATTGTTCTAAAGGGGAAGGCCCTTGAGTGAATGGGAAGTGGGCCTTTCTGAGCCAGATGGACTATCTCACAGGCCTTTCCTCCCAGCAGGTACCAGTACCTGGGACACGCCAGGAGAATGGGATGGCCAGCTGCCTGGACGAGGGTTTGGAGGATTTCTTCAGCCGGAGGGTCATGGATGAGAGTTCCAGGTGTGATGCCTAAACACACTCACATTTCAGCCAGACCCAAGGCTACAAAAGCACTCCTGTCCTCCCAGCTCCTATCCAGGTTCCTCCAGCAACAGTGCCTCCAAGCCTGCCTCTCCCCGGGCCACTCTCCACATTCTAACCCTTCCTTGTCTACCTCTTAGCTCTCACAGCCTCTAAATCTGCTTAGGGTGACTGAAAAGGGGCAAACCAGCAGAGTGCAATGATGGGACAAAGCAGGAGTGACAGTACTGGGACGGGGTGGGTGTGTGTCCCTGAAGACATAGTCTGTCACATAATATTTTTATTCAAATCTACTCATCTTGTTTTCACTGTCTCTAGACCTAAGCATTACCAGACCACCCAGAGTCTATCAGGGAGCTGGGTCACTTGGAGAAATTACAAGAAAGACTTGGGAGACAGGGGTGTCTGAGAGAACAGAGTTGATGTTAGAAAATGAGGCTGCTGGAGGTTGTAACCAGGAAGTTGAGGACAGCATCTCCTCTGAGGATAAAGGAATAGGGCCTGCAGTGCCACAGGAGAGTCTAGAAGAGAGGGGAAAGTGGGGCAATTGGGGTATTCAGAATGGACCGATAGCAGCATCACTCTAGGCTGTGTCTGGCACCTGTCACTAACTTACCCCAACTCTGCCAGCTACCCCAGAACTCTGAGGACTGTGCGGCCAGGCCTCTCAGAGCCACCACTGCCTCCACTCCAGAAGAAGAGGCGACGAGGACTGTTCCACTTTCGCCGCCCCCGGAGCTTCAAGGGGGACAGGGGGCCAGGGTCCCCCACCACTGGACTCCTTCTCCCTCCACCCCCGCCCCCACCCCCAACTCAGGAAAGCCCCCCTAGCCCAGAACCCCCAAGCCTCGGCAATAACTCTTCTCCTTGCTGGAGCCCCGAGGAGGAGAGCAGCCTCCTGCCTGGATTTGGGCCGGGCCGGGGGCCTTCCTTCCACAGGAAGCCGGTAAGTGAGACAGAGTATGGGGTGTCTTTCCCTTCTCCTGTCCTAGATGCAGCCCATTCCCTGACCCCACCCTGACCTAAAGGGAAAATGCTCAGACCCAGAGTTCTGGACAATATTGGTCATCTGGTTCCTCTCTCCATGAAAGGGGACTAGGATTTGGTGGCCCAGAGCATGCTGAGAGGGCTGTGTGTGAAGAGAGCATTGGCAGGAGTCCTCCCAAGGTGTGGGGAGGACTTCCCCTAGGCCTAGGGGCTTGGCCTTGTCCATCAGGGACTGCTTGTAAAGAAAGACTTCATTCTAGGGCACTGAGGGGTCAGAGGCAGGGGACGGGGGCACAGCCCCTGGAATGGCACAGCAGCCAGCGGTACATGGTGTTGCCCTGCCTGGGTTAGGAAGAGCTAAGGGCTGGAGCTTCGACGGGAAACAAGAGGTGAGGGGACCCTGGGGCAGCAAACTGAGGGTCCTGTGGGTCCCTTTCCGCCCCTCTTCCTGTTTCCTCACTCCTGGTGGCTCAGTGGAGAGGCTGGTTCTTTGGCCTCTGGAGGTGTTGACTGCAGCTCTGCCCCTACCACACATTTATCAGGGAGTGGGCAGGGGGGTTGCATAAAAATACTCAGCTTTAGAGCTCTACTCCTCAGCCTTGGTGACTTCACGACGACCTTTATGATGGATTTTTACCTTATCCATACACCACCTGAATTATTTACCTAGTTATTTTTTACTTAAATCAACTCACTTTTAAACCTAGTCTAAACTTAAGCATTATCATCTTTAAAGTCTCAGGCTTTTTGTACACATCATTTTTTTCCTACTACACATAAAATAAACACATATTATGATAGTAGTGTGTTCATTTGTGTAAACCATCTCTTGTGCCCCCAGGGTGTTATGGGTACCACTCTTCAGGAAATACGGTTCTAATATCTAGGAGCTAACAACATAAAATGACTTGAGATGCTAAAGCAGAATCCCTTTTGCAGCTGCAGTCCTCCTTGCGGATACTGTTGTCACAGCTGACTCAGTTCTGCTTTTAGGGCACAGATCCTGACCTGGATGACAGCACCCAGGCATGGCAGAAACGGCGCTCTTCAGTTGACGCAGGTGAGCCTGACACCCTTGCTGCCTTCCTTTATGCTTCTCTCAGGGGCCCCTCCTAATTTTCTTTTTTCACTTTCCTCCTTCCACTTCATATCCCTCCCTCCACTCTTAGGTCCCGGAGCTTGGAAGCCCCCACCACCACCCCAAAGCAGCAAACCAAGCTTCAGCGCCATGCGTCGAGCAGAGGCCACGTGGCACATAGGTAGGGAGAGACCCTTCTTGGCTGAAGTGCTGAAGGCCCAGGGTGTGTCCAAACAGTTGGCCTCTACTCTGGGCAATTCATGGTCAAGGTGAGGCAGAGAGAAGTCAACACAGTAAAAATATTTAAGGATGTTTGCAGAGCTATACCCAAAAGAACCTACAATCCAATCCCAAGAAAGATTCTGCAGAACAAAAGTGGCTTTGGGGTTTAACAAACAGGACCACTCCCTTGTGGGTGGGTTCAGTGACTATTCTAGGGCAGGCATCACGTTGTTCACCTACAGCACAGTAGTGCTTTCTATAGATAAGACCTCATTTCACATCTCAGCTGAGAGCAAGTGGGAAAGTCAAACTACCAGCCACCACCAGCTCCTTGGCTTACTTCAGGCACTCCAGCCTGCAAAAACAGCTTGCAACCTGTCCTCAGGTGCTCAAAAAGGTGCCCCAAAGAAAAAGCAAGTGCTCTACCTTAGAGATCAGAAGCCCTAGATTTTCGTTCCATTGGCCACCCATAACCTTCAATGAGTCATTTACTTTCTGACTTCATGACTGGAGGAATAGAAGGGAAGATTATTCCAGGGATGATGTTTCCTTCCTGCTGAATTCAGGGATCTTCTGCTTATGGAGCCACTAGAGAAAATCTGGTCAGCTCAGTATCAACTTAAGTTCCAAAGGCCTGGAATAAGACCCCTGAAAATCCTGACATGGACAAAATCTCCCTATGCACATAGACACCCCCTCACATTCCTAGACTAGGATGTAGGACTGGAAGAAACTCCAACATGAGCAAGCAGGTCTGGATTGGGCTGCCCACTCATTGCCCTGTCCCACCCCATTCTGCCCTTGCCCTCTCTGCTCCACAGTACAGAACTAGGCTAGCCTGAGGCTTAGCAGTGCTTGTGCACCTGTACTGTCCTCCTAGTCACTCACCTTTGCTACGTCCTGTCCCTCACACAAACTAGCAACACATCCGAAGTGGAGACACACCCTTCACTTAGGGATCCACAACTGTCAGATGGTCTGCAGCGCACGTGTCACACGGACACACCCTTCCTAGGTATTCTACCTCCAGCTCATATTACCTAAGGCTATAGGGGCCAGGCACCAGGGCATCTCTCCTCGTGCTCTCCCCATCTAATCAGGCTAGGGATACTGCCTACAGCCTTGGCCGAACCCTGGGCCTGCAGCCCCAGAAGAGCAGCCATGCCTGTGTTGCCCTGAAGGCCCCCATGCTGGCTCTGCCCCATAGGAAAGGGCCTGGGCTGTATCTGCAAAAGAGTTAGCCAGGCAGGAGCACCCCCAACCCAGAGGTGACACTCTCAGGGAGATGCTGAGGACTGAGGCTAATAAAACACGGACACAAAAGGGAATATTGAAGGCAGTTGTTGGAGCAAATGAGCCTGGAGGGGGAAGGTCGTGGCCAATGAGGGCATTGTAGGAAAAAAAAACAGGGGTAGGTTCTGCACTTTCCTGAATTTCTGCCTGCCCCCCCACCCCCTAGCTGAGGAGAGTGCCCCCAGCCACAGCTGCCAGAGCCCCAGCCCAGCCTCTCAAGATGGAGAGGAAGAGAAGGAGGGCGTCTTCTTCCCAGAGAGGACAATTCCAGCTAGGAATGCCAAGGTGAGAGCCAGCAAGGCAGACGGGAAGGTGATTTGATGGGGCAGAGACTAATCCAGCATCTTCCTTTCTCTGCCAGCTGCAGGACCCTCCTCTAGCTCCACGGCCCCCCAAGCCAGTGGCAGTGCCCAGGGGCCGTCGACCCCCTCAGGTGCCAGGGGGCAGGGAGGAGGCTGAGACTGTGGGTACAGCCCCCGGAGTCAACAAGCCCCGGCTGAGGCTGGGCTCACAGCAAGACCAAGAGGAGTCTGAAGCTCAAGGTCTGCCATCCTAGCGGAGTGGGAGGTTCAGGCAGCCACTGTGATTTTACTATCCATATCAAGTTGTTTTCCAAGGGATGGCATAAATGACAACCAGGAGTCCCAGGATGGGTGAGCACCCCAGCTTGTGAGCATCTTGTGGCTGTCATTTCAGGGCCTCCTGATCCAGGACGCCGGACTGCCCCTCTGAAGCCCAAGAGGACACGGAGGGCACAGTCCTGTGACAAACTGGAGCCTGACAGAAGATGGCCCCCTGACCCCGCAGGTGCTAGTGGTAAGAGGATGGGTTCTCCTTACCACCAATTAGTCCATTTGTCCATTACTGCACCTCCTTAAGCTCCAAAACGGGGTAGTTTTCTCTCCCTACCCAGGAAACAGGGTTCCCTGGATTTGTCCCCAGCAGGAACCAGTGAGCCAGGAACAGACTGACAGCCGCTGCAACACCTTCCCCAGCCTTCCTCTCAACATGTGCCTCACAAGGACTCAGCCCCCCACCCGTTCCTGCTCCCCCAGACCTCCGGCCAGCCCCTGTCCTACAGAGACAGGATGTAGGGCTGGGCATAGGGGAGCAGGAGGCAAGGGGACCAGAAGGGAGGAAACAACCTGGAAAGAGGAAGGCTCTCATTGCCTGCCTCCACACCTTGCTCTGCAGAGAGCTATGGATGGACCTGTCTCCTCCCCTGGGAGGGTAGATCTCTGTCCCTCTATCCCCAGGGGCTTCTCCCCACTTGTATAGAATTAAAAAAAAAAAAAGAAAGAAAATGAAAATGAAAAAAAAAACAGTCTGCCTTGCATCTCTGCTGTCTCCCCCATTCACTGCTCCCACCTCCCACCATCTGCTCCTTTCCCACAGGCCCCCAGGGCTTGGCCACAGTGGGGAAAGTAAAAATCCCCACCAGGATGGGATTGGGCCTCCAAAGGAGAAAACAAAGAGCTGCTGACAGACTGAGGCTGACATGTCCCTCAGCTAAGGTGGGAGTTATTTATATGCAGGGTCAGGACTGCAGAAAGGACACAAATGACAGAAATCACCAAATTGTGTGCATCCAACTTCAGAGTGTGATGAGATTGGAAAACCCCAGCATACGGGGAGTAGGGAGATCAGAATGTGGGTACGTGAGTCCACATTCAGGCTTAATACGGCTGTTTTATGTGGTATCAGCCTGTGGGATATGGCTTAGTATAAAGGCCCTGGGTGCAAGCCTTGGTCCCAGAAAAAAAGTCAAAAATCTCAACAGGAAAATAGCTTATAGGTGAACAGAAGTCTTTATGCAGTAAGATCAAAAATTAAACATTCTCTTTGATTTCCTAACAAACAGTAATGGTAACCTTGGTGTTCAAGATCCCCTCTGAGTTCCTGAGATGTCATTCCTAATGCCTTCCTACTCGTCCAAATTCAGCTCTCTCTCTCTCTCTCTCTCTCTCTCTCTCTCTCTCTCTCTCTCTCTCTGTGCTCCCACTGAATTATGTAGAGGTCCATAATTTTGCATCTGTCATACTTAATCACACTTCACATTGGCTTGTCATCTGCACACCTCCGTCTCTGCTCCATATACCTCTGCCTCCCCTAGAGGCAGGGGGCTATGTCTGAATCATCTGGTTAGCCCCAATGCCTGGTACAGGGCCTGGCACCCAGGATATGGTTAATAAATGGTTGCTACCTTAAAAAATGAGCAACTTAAAAGATAAAGTGAAAGTGTCATGGTGAATGCGCTTATGTTCTCATCCCAGATCATCATCATGTGCTCCAACCTCTTGCTGTGCTTCTTTTTCCCCAGGTAATTGTTCACTTTCCCTGGTCTTGTTAGGAATGACTCATGTCTTGTTTCCTTAAGATCTGCCTGAGGCACTGCCCCTCCCACAAGGATGTGACCATATGGGTTGAATCTTGGAGGAGGGGACATTGGGTACATTGTGGCACTGGAACGATGCCCTGGAAGTCAGTCCTTTAGCACATGCCCCAAATGTGCAACTCTGTCCTCTGGGGCTGCGTGACCAGAATGTGAGCCTGTGTGTCCTATGCAGTCATGTCCATTTCCTGCAACTCTTTATAAAAAGATGGCTAGGGAACTGAACACCACTTTCAAAGCCATGAGATCAGAGCAGTACGTGATGGTCTTTAAGGAGCAATGAGGACCCACATCCTGTTGTACTCCGGGTCTGCGTGAGTGAGTGTATGCATGTGTGTGATAAACACAGCCCAGTGTTCTCTTATATGTGACTGAAAATATCCTTAACAAGTGTCATACTGTGGAGAGTGTTGTTAAGCTGGGTGTGTTTGCCACTGTGTGTCTGTAGGGCTGTAGCTCTCATGGTGACACAGTGAGTTTACGTCCTGGAGCTTGTGTGTATCAAGATATGTGTGAGCCTATAAGTCGTGGGTGCCTGTGTCGCCATCATTTCTCTGTGTGGATGTGTGTGTGTGCATGAACCACTGCAAGGTGTGTGTCTCTCTGTGATGCTGGGTGTGGGTGTTGTGCGAAAGGGAAGATTTGTGTCACTGTGTCTGTGGGGTCCTGCCTCTGAGCCTCCTCCAGTCCGCCCTCCTCCTGCAGTTCTGTGGCTCCCTCCCAGGCAGTGGCCCTGCTCCTCCTCTCTTCTCCCTCCCAGCCCGTCTGTGCGGGGGGAGAGCCGATGCTGCAGCCCCCCCACCCTTTCCCATCCAAGCCCCATAAATAGCAGCAGAGCCAGAGCGGAGCCGGCGCCAGCGGCTGGAGCAGCAAGGAGTCAGGGCCAGGGCCAGAGCCGGAGAGAGGAACCCCGACTGTGAGCCCAGGTGAGCCCACCCGTCCTACCCAATCCAGCCCTAGCCCCAGCCCACCCACCCTCTGTGTCTGTCTCAGCCCTGCCCAGTCTGGCCCAGTCTCCATACAACATCTCCTTTGACCCCCAGAGAGGCCCCCAGCCCTGCCCAATCCCCTCAGCACATGTCCCTGCCCACTTCAGAAGACTCACAAGAACTGGGAGACTAGCGGCTAGAAGGCAGAGAACCCCAGCCTAGACCCTCCCTCACATACCCAGAAAGACACACGTGGTGGAGGAGGTGGTGGATACCTAGCCAGGGAAGGGTCCCCATTCTCAGGGAGGTAGAGATCTGTCACACCCTCCTGAAGATGGACACATGACAGATGGAGAGAGACACAGAGGGTGGGGCGTACAGACACACTGATGCACACTCGCTTGGGGAAACACGGCACGGGATCAGACAGCCTCACCCTGGCATCTGGGCAGAAACAGCGGGATGGACTGACCAGCTGTGAACTCAGGCCAGCGTGCCCTTGCCTGCTGCTGCCCAAGGCTTGATACCACCGCTGGGGGAGGGTGGAGCACATGCATCCCACAGACAGCATGGAGGGGGCTGCAGCTCCCCCAAATCCTGTCGCTAAGAGACAGTGCTGGTGCTGCCAAGAAGTGTGAAAACAGGGGAGGTAGGGAGGGAGGTAAGGCTTGTCATAGTGGGATCCCCTGTGGGAGCCTGGAGGAGCTTTCAGCAGAGACAGACCTAATCTTAACTTCCAAGTCCACCACCCTGCTTTCCCATGAGCCGGCCAGAGATGAGTGGGGGTAAGGAGACAGTCCAGCAGGGCATCTTCCAACCTGGCTCCTCTACCCACTGCAGACTCGGTTCCCGAAGGAAGCGTGTCCTCTTCAGACATCCAGGGGCCTCCCCACCCTCTTGTCCCAGTTCAGCTCCCTCATGCCAAGACTGAGTGCAGTGCTGGCTCAAACACCAGTTGGGAAATAGCAGAAGATGCTGAGACAGCAGAAAATGTGGATCAATCGATGGCCTAGGAGCTAAGAACCCAGCTTGCATCCCAACCCGCCTGCCCTTTCAAGCCCCATCTGCACACACTTAGGAGGGTAGGGCTGAGAGAAATGCAGGACTCCAGTGCAAGAGTGTGAGAATTTGGTCCTCTGCCCTCCCCTGCTTGGAACTCTGGGGAAGCCAAACAGAGGTAGGGAAAGCAGGAGGTCCACGCGACCCCAGGGCCTCAGAGAAAAAAGGGCAAGATGGTAAGGCCCACGGCCCCCAGAAAACAGTGTCCAAGCCTTCTACTCTCCCCTACAGTGACATGTCGGATCCTGAGATGGGATGGGTGCCTGAGCCCCCAACCATGACGTTGGGGGCCTCCAGGGTAGAGCTACGGGTATCCTGCCATGGCCTCCTGGACAGAGACACACTCGCCAAGCCCCACCCCTGTGTGCTGCTCAAGCTGTACTCTGAGGAGCAGTGGGTAGAGGTGAGAGAAGATGAGTTTTTTCTGAATTTACTCCTGGGTTAAGCCTGAGAACAAAGGAAGGTGGTAGGAGAATGTGCAAACTCCAGAGACCTTTGCTAGGCCACATGGATAACCATAAGACAATCATGTCATTGTTACAAACCCAACCCATTTTACAGTTGAAAGCACACAGGGTCCCAGAGGGCCCTGAGAGTGCCCCAGAGGCAGAGAGATAGCTTTCAAAGGCCTAGAGCCCCAGAGGGCTGTGAATCTAGGGGCCCAGCAGCACTCTGAGCTCAGGGACCGGCCTAGGCAGAGAAGAGCTAGTTGTTGGGAGTGCAGAGCCTGAAGGCAGGCTGGCAGGACCTGGGCAGGGTAAAGCGGCCTCTGCTTGCTGAAGGCCGTCACTGCTTCTGCCACAGGTGGAACGCACGGAGGTGCTTCGGTCCTGTTCTAGCCCCGTCTTCTCCCGGGCGCTAGCCCTCGAGTACTTTTTTGAAGAGAAGCAGCCCTTGCAATTTCACGTGTTTGATGCTGAGGATGGAGCCACCAGCCCTAGCAGCGACACCTTCCTTGGCTCTACAGAGTGCACCTTGGGCCAGGTCTGCATTCCAGCTCACCCACCCCATCTTTGTCACCTTTTACTTCTGGAACCTAAAATAAGAGCGAGCATGAGCTCCCAAGCGAATTCAGCCTAAGCCTGGATATCATTGTGCTATTCCCTGGTTGTGGAGCCTTAGGCAAGACATTTAACTCTCTGCATGTTGGTTTCTGCATCTAAAAAACGGTGAGATGGGGGAATGTTACAGTGTCTCCTTCTTTTGTTCTCTTTATTTTTTTTATTTATTTTTCTTGTTTGGTGGTGCTGGGGGTTGAAATCATGGCCTGATGCATGCTAAATTGGCACTCTACCTCTGAGCCTCCCTCTTAAGGCTGTGCTCCTCTCTTAAGGCTGCTGTAGAAATTAAGTCCCACCCTAACCCAGTCAAAGGGCCAACATGGGGACACTTGGAGAGCACTTATTCTTCTGTCCCATCTATGTCTCGTGACCAAGGCAGTTAGGGATGTTACAGCTGGGTCTCCCTCCACCTCCACCCACAGATTGTGTCACAAACCAAGGTCACTAAGCCATTACTGCTGAAGAACGGGAAGACTGCCGGCAAGTCCACAATCACGGTAAGCTGGGTCACCTGTACTCACCCTTGGCCTAGGCATTCAATGCCTCTGCATGGTCATCTGTGGGGATATCACGCCCAGAACCATTCTACCTATGGAAAGGGGAGGAGAGTCCTGTAACTGTGTCCCCCTTGCAGATTGTGGCTGAGGAAATATCTGGTACCAACGACTATGTACAACTTACCTTCAGAGCCCAAAAGCTGGACAACAAGGTTAGAAGCTCTAAATCCCAGCCCCATGGCCCCTGTTAGAGAGCCTTAGGCCTCCCATGGAAGGCATATCCTGGGGACCAAGGATCCTCCTCAGAGCCACTCCTCTCCCCAGCCTTCCTGGTAGACCTCGCCAGATTCATGGGCCATTTCCCTTGCGTTTCCAGGATCTGTTCAGCAAGTCTGACCCTTTTATGGAAATCTATAAAACCAACAGGGACCAGAGTGACCAGCTGGTCTGGAGGACTGAGGTTGGTGTCTAAAGATAAGGGGATGGAAGAGGGACAGCAGAGTAGGGAAACAGAAGGTGACCAACTCCATGGTGCCTCTCCAAGGTGGTGAAAAACAACCTGAACCCCAGCTGGGAGCCATTCCGCCTGTCCCTGCACTCTCTGTGCAGCTGTGATGTCCACCGGCCTCTCAAGGTGAAGCCCCAGTCAAGCACAGCCTACAGAAGCATTCCCCTGAGGGTGGGAACCCCCACCCATAAGCAATTCTCACTGCAGGACAACCCACAAACAAACAAACAAAGCTTAATGTTAAGCTATCTACAAGTATGCTTTTTATCAAAGGCTAAAGTTGCTAACAGACTATGCCTAAGAACAAAATTCAGCAGGTAGCCTCTCTGGGTGGGGTAAGGACATCTATTTTGGCCTGAAGACTATGGGCCTGAATCCCCCACCCAACTTAGGAACCATTTAAGAGTATCCCCCTGCTGATCTCACTTTCCCCTCCTTTTTCAGTTTCTGGTGTACGACTATGACTCCAGTGGCAAGCATGACTTCATTGGCGAGTTCACCAGCACCTTCCAAGAGATGCAAGAGGGGACAGCAAACCCTGGGCAGGAGGTGCCACAGAAATCCCTCCCCCAGAATACCAGATCCCTGGGAAAATCTGGAGGGTGAAATTGAAAAGACTGCTGCAGGCAATAGGAAGTGAACAGGGTGGAACACACCCAGGCTCAGCCAAACGATAGAGTGGGGTGGGGGTGGGGGGTTGTTCTGGAAAGCTCTGTTAAAAGGGGACAAGAAAGGCCACTGAAGGACAGTGACCCTGCATCTGTGGTTTGTTGGGGTCTAGATGCAGTGGGACTGTATCAACCCCAAGTATCGGGACAAGAAGAAGAATTACAAGAGCTCAGGGTCGGTAGTGCTGGCCCAGTGCACGGTAAATCCCAGTTCTTGCCTCAAATCGTACCTCCTCTACTCTCTCTATGACACTCTCAGATTCAACCCTTTGCTTGTTTCAAAGGCCAGTTTCTCTGTTTCTGAGAATCATTGCCACCCCAACTTAACCTCAAAAACCCAGCTCCCCTACCTTTCCCACAGAAGCCTCTACCCAAGTTTCGTCCCGAAGACCATCCCATCCTCCATTATCCCTTCCCTCTTGACAGGTGGAGAAGGTGCACACCTTTCTGGATTACATCATGGGTGGCTGCCAGATCAGCTTCACGGTAAAGGCCCAGGAGATGGGGGCAAAACAGGGAGAAGCTAAATCCATATTGAACTGAAAAGCTCAGAGTCAGTACTGCTGCGTAGGACACAGTCAGCTAGAACACAATCCCACCCCACCCCGGGAGAGGCTAACATTGAGCTCCCCAGACACAGCTCCATCCTTATGAAGCTCCATCCTTAGAAGATTCTAGCTCTGGGACAGCCTCTTTGTTCACTCTCATGGCAGCAGTGTGACCATTTCCTCACTCTCATCCCCACCAGGTGGCCATCGACTTCACTGCCTCCAATGGGGACCCAAGGAGCAGCCAGTCCCTACACTGCCTCAGCCCCCGACAGCCAAACCACTACCTGCAGGCCCTGCGAGCAGTGGGAGGCATCTGCCAGGACTATGACAGGTGGGAGAGGGTGGGGAGGGCGAGGATGGGAGTCCTTGCCCCATGAGACCCACAGCCTGCTCTTCTTTCCAGTGATAAGCGGTTCCCAGCTTTTGGTTTTGGGGCTCGGATCCCACCCAACTTTGAGGTAGGATGGGTGGGGAAGAAAGGAAGAGTAGAGGTCAGGCAAGAAGGAGAGCCATGCCCTCACTGTGCTCAACTTCCCACACAGGTGTCACACGACTTCGCTATCAACTTTGACCCAGAAAACCCTGAATGCGAAGGTAGGCTGTGGGAATCCCACCAGCCTGCTTGGCTACTTGTTGCTCAGACCTGGACATCCCATCCAGACTCTATTCCCATGTGTCCAGCTCCCAGTCCCTCCCACCTATGCATCTGGTCTGACTTTCAGCTTCGTGGCCTGCTCACCCAATTCTTACAGCCTTGGGACCATGTGATCTTCCTGCTTACTGAACATTGAGGGTGCACAGTATTGTCCAGTCTCTAACAACCACATCTCTGTTCTTTGCCCACAGAGATCTCAGGGGTCATCACCTCCTACCGCCGTTGCTTGCCCCAGATCCAGCTCTATGGCCCTACCAATGTGGCCCCCATTATCAATCGTGTGGCTGGGCCAGCACAGCGTGAGCAGAGCACGGGCCAAGCCACGGTGAGGACACAAAACACAACCAGGCACTGCGCTGTGTCCCCTCGGGTTTGGACCTGGGCTCAGTTTTATGCGCTGGCACACAGAGGCAGCCCTTTCTCCTTCTGCCTGCCCTCAGAAATACTCGGTGCTGCTGGTGCTCACCGACGGCGTGGTAAGCGACATGGCCGAAACCCGCACGGCGATCGTGCGTGCCTCCCGCCTGCCCATGTCCATCATCATCGTGGGTGTGGGCAATGCTGACTTCTCTGACATGCGGCTGCTGGATGGTGATGATGGCCCCTTGCGCTGCCCCCAAGGGGTGCCCGCGGCCCGAGATATCGTCCAATTTGTGCCCTTCCGGGACTTTAAGGATGTAAGTGCTCTCTATCCTTCCCGGAAGAAATGTCATATCATGCTCCCAATCCTCTCTCTCTCTCATGGCATCCTCCAAACCATTCTGAAGCCCATTGGGTCACCTTGAAGCCCCACCCCTCCCTCTTCTCCTGCCCTTCTGCCCCTAATCTCATCTCTTCCCCGATCCACAGGCTGCCCCCTCTGCCCTGGCTAAGTGTGTCCTGGCTGAGGTGCCCCGGCAGGTGGTGGAGTACTATGCTAGCCAGGGAATCAGCCCTGGAGCTCCCAGGCCCTGCACACCAGGCACAACTCCCAGTCCTAGCCCTTGACTACCTTGCACTGGACCCAGGACACTCCTTCAACCTCTCAGTGAGTCTTCTGCATTCAAAGGGGTGGACAGAGAGCTGGTGCGAAGTGGGACTTCTGAGGATCCTAGCTGGGCTGTGTGTAGTGTAGATGAGGGTGTGTTCATGGTTATTGTACCTCTGCCAGGTGCCTGTCCTGACTTTTGTGACTCAAGTGACTAGTGCCTCTGCCTCTTGCAGCTGTATCCCCAGAGTCCTGGAAGTGAGATGTGGGCCCTGCCTCCATCTCTCCTAGCCCCACGTCCCTCCAATCTGTGGCCCCTCAGTGACTTCCTTCAGTAATCTGACTTTCTGGTTATTAATAAAGCAAACCACTCCTAGCACTTCAGCCTCTACTCATCATGCTTTGGGTGCCCAAGGGGCAGTTTGTAGCACCCATGGGCACCATAGGAGATGAGGGACTGTACCTTTTGAAATCCGACCCAGACCTCCAGGAAGGCATCTGTCTCTGTAATCTTATTCCAACTATGTGTCAGTAGGATCTAAAGAGTCTCCACTCTTGCCTCCCAAGCCTAAGGGGGATCCAGGCACCATGGGGATTAATAACAGGAGTTAGGGGAGTAATGAGGGGTTGTCAAGAGGGCAGAATGAAGCTCTCTTACAGCTGTCTCCAGAAAAGCCCCACTGAGTTCCCCAAGGGTTGAACCACTGCCCCCACACAGCTGTGGGGCTGGCCAAAAAGGGGTATTGGGGAGGGGAGGAGAACAGCAGGTCTGCTAATGAATTAGGAATACAGAGGGACATTTAGGTCTGCTCAACCTGATTTCCCTAAATGTGTCAATGTGTATGAGTTCATGCACCACACATCCCTGACTGTCTGTGAACCACAGTGGTTCAGGAAACCTAGCTGTGCACTCTGAGCTGCCCATTGTGGCAACCACAAAGATTATTCTTTAGCATCTATCAAACTTCGCTTCTTTAAATGCACGCATACTCACCAGACAATTAGCATTTATTTTCCCTATTTTTCCCACAAAGCAAATCTTGATTTTTAACTCACTCATGATCAGAGAACTCACAGAACTTGAGCCCAAGCATCCACACTTATCATCACTACAGTGTGCAACCTTTGTTTGATGTCTATCCATGTGACTCAAGTATATTATTTTGAGAGCCAGCTGTACGTATATGTGGCCTAGTTCTGTGCACAGGCGTCTGTGGATAGATGTCTCCGCCCTTGTGTGCCATGCAGGTAGGCTTACAAGAAAAGCAAAGGTTCTGGACTGAAGCTCTCAAGAGTGGGCAAAGATACCTGTGAAATACAGAGGAATGGAAGAGCTGTACTCCTGAAGGGACCCTCTCTGTCCCAACCCTTCACTTTGAGAGGATTCCTGTTGCAGGCTCCTGAGTGGAGGAGGGATGAGCTGGACTAGAGGAGAGAGGAGAAGGGAACAGAACTGTGATGGGAAGAGAAGAGACAGCTGGGAAGGAGGCGGATAGAAGGGGCAGAAAGGAAGAGAGACATATGTGAGCCACTTCCCCCATGCCCCACCATTTCTCTCATTTATTATGTCCCTTAAAGGATGGACAGCAGTGGCTGGTGAGGTACGCCTCTGCTCTGCCCAGAGACCCCACCTGCCCTCCCCTTCTGCTGCTGAACTGGTGGGCTGGGTTACCATGGCAACAGTGAGACCGTGATAGCCACAGGCAGGCCTTGCTCCTGCTCTTGGGTTTTGTGCTAGTAATGGAGAGGAGAGGCTCTATCTGGACCAATCCCCACTCCCCTCCACCCCATTTTCATTGGCCATCCAGAACTGAGACCATACCAAGTGAATATCCCCTCCCCTACACACAGAAATACAAAACAGCAGTCTGAAGCAGGGATAGAAAATGGACTTTTTTTTAAAATTGCAAGAACATTTAGCCAATAGCATTAGAGTTCTGCCTGGATTTCAAATTTAATTGACAAAAGCTGCACTCAGCTCCTGTCATCCTCCGAAGTCTTACTGAAGCCCTCGGAGACAGGAGGTAGCAGGGGTACCCGCTTGCAGGGCTGAAGCCTGAGGTAGCCTAGGGGGAACTGCACAGACCCATTGTGTGTGACTGCAGGGGAATGCTGGTCCCCTGGGATGTTTATTCACAGCTGCGGCTGTGGCCAAGAAACTGGAGCAGGACAGGACGTCCCTTTGATGAGGTTTGTCTTGGGTGATCATTGGAACTCACACACTGGGGAGATGCCAGAACTGAAAAGGTGTCAGAAGTCATCCAACCCAAATGAGGATTAGATGAAGTAACTGAGGCCAGAGAGCAATTGATTTGCTCAAGGTGACAGTGGGATCCCGTGGCAGATTCGGGACAGTGCCAAGGCTTGACTCCTAGCTGACATCACCCCACACCTGGGGCTCACTCCTCAGACCTATGCTGCTGCTGGCCCTGAAGACCAGTGGATTGAGTAGGAAAATGCATCGTGGGTAGCATTCCTAAGTGTTTTGTCTTGCTACGGAGGTTACAAACCATGGAGGGAAAAATACAGCTCATTGCTAATTACACCCTTAATGCACTGGAATTGAAAACCTTTAATTAAGAACTAAACTGAGAGAAGAGCAGCACCAGTCCCTTCCCTCCCATTCACTGTGCCATGAGGCTGTCGTCCACATCGCCACCCTTCGTGCCTGCAGAGCCCTGGCCCCTGGAGGGTTCCATAGGTGGTTATCTGTGCAAGGTCTGCAAGAGAAGGGACCCCTCTTCCAGAAAATGGTCAGCATCTTGAGGGTTCCGGAAGTTTAGGGATATTTGTGTGATCATACTGAGGGGCAGATGGGGCCAGAAGTGAGCCGTGCAGCCGACTCCTACTCTCAACCACTTCCACACCCCACGCCCCCTACCCCAGAAACTTAGAGAAAGAGATGGGTGTGATCCCCCGACCCCGGACCGCTCGAGGTCAGCCGATCACAGCGAGCCTTGTAGAGATCGCGCTCACGAGCCAGGCGAGCTACCTCGGCCCGCAGCGCATCCAACTGTGCGGCCAGGCGGGCACGCTCGGCCTCCAGCCCGCGCCGCTGCTGCAGCCGCTTGGAGCGACAGGCCTGCGCGTAACCGCGGTTCTTCAGCGTGCGGCGCCTCTGCTTCAGCCGCAGCGCCTCGTCTCGCCCGCAGCCCCGCAGCTGCCGGTTGAGCTCCCGCACAGACATCGATACCAGCGCCGCGTCTGAAAACCGCTCGGCCATCTGCGGAGGTGCAGTACAGGCACTGGATCAGCCAGCAGTCAACGCCGAGGTCCCGAGGCCAGGCTAGGCCGGCTCTCGGGAAGGCTCCGCCCCGCACCTGGCCCTCACTTTTACCCGAACGCCCAGTGCTGTAACTCAATCTGTTGCCCTTGCGACCCCACTCCAGGTCTCCCCACACCGCTCGCGCCCCCTTGGGCACGCCCATCGGTGAGACCTTCCTTCCATTGGCAGGCGAGCCAATGGCACACCTGGACCGCTTTGCCCTCCAAGTCCCGGAACCCGCACCCAGACAGACCCGCCCCATCGCGCCGCCCCTCCAGTCCCAGGGGCTGCAACCCTGTGACCCTCAAAGGATTTGGATTACATCCTAATGTCCTCAACGCCCCAGTCTGTGTCTGTAATTAATAGGATGAGTCCCAATCCTTCCTGAGAAGGTTGGGCGCTTGGAAAAGGCCAACCTCAACCACAGCTTCCACCCCGCTCCATTCCACGCACCACGTACCTATTTACTTCCTCCTAATCGCTCTGTAATTCTCAACCCTTTCCTTTTGAGTCCTCTTCTAATCTTATTTTTCTTCCTCTTCTTTATGATTCAGCTTAGTCATCTCCGTTTTGGAGCGAAAAAAATGTTATCTCTGATTTCTTTCAAAGGCCCTTCTCTGCTCTTGCCCTCTTTTCCCAGACCACAATCTTCTCCAGGAACTCTCCTTTCTCTCTCTGTCCAACATGCCTCCCCCAGACCAGTTGCTTGGTCACTCACCTGGGCATGCTGGGCTCCTGTCTCCTCTGGGTTCCCTGGGTAGTAGCTGTGGGGTCCCTCCATAGGGACTGAGCCTTGACCTTGCAGCAGCTCCACCGCCTCATCGGGACTCAGCCCCAGTGACTCCCCAGCCCCTAGCTGCTGTTGCAGGGTAGCCAACCAGTACAGCTCCTCCAAGCCTGGCCTCGCACCCTCGGTGGCCCCCACTATGCCCGGCTCACTGAAGGTGGGTGAAGGAGGCACTGAGCTGTAAGGTGTGGAGCCCAGTGAGGCTGTGGGAGGGCCGGATCGCCCCTCGGAGGGTTCCTGCTTTACCTCAAACTTCATCAAATCAAAGTCATTAACATATTCCATGGCCAGAGGGCTCGGGGGCAGCGCCATTTTGGGGCTGTACTGGGAGAGATGTACCTGCAAAACAGAGAACAAATCTGTAGCCACAGAGGTGGCCTGTCGTCCCTTCACCAATCTCAGAGCCCAAAGCCCAGATGTCTTGGAGTCACAGCTCTGGGAAAGCAGAGTAGTGGTGCAGCCCTGTTCACCACCCAGTCACCTCCAAGTGGGGCAGCCTTGCAGGTGGCAAAGGGTCCTGATGCCAGGAGACAAGAAGCTGAAGGGTTAAGGGAGGAAGAGGGTAGCACAACCCCTTGCCCCAAGGGTGCCCCTGGGATCTATGAAAAACAAGAGTAATGTGGCAGTGCTCCCAACCCCCGGTGCTGAGACGTGCTGAGAGGCTCTGCCATCCCAAGGGACACCATTCCACTTCCAAGCAATTAAAAAAATTATGCTTAATTAACTGTGACTGAATCTGTATGTATTTTACGGTGGTGGGAAGGCATGTATGCTGTGGATTTAAGATATAATGGCACCGTGTCTCCAAGCACTCAGGACAGTGCCTTAAATATAAAAGACCCTCAGTGCACATTTGTTCTATGGATTAATCAATCAATGAGTCTCTTTTACAAGAGCAAGAGACTTTCTAGCGGGGAGGAGGAGTCCTGGAGCCAGTTCTAGAAAGATCAGGACTAGTGGCTGCCATCTGTCCTCAAGACTTGTTTCTACAAGAACTCACCAAGATTAATTGTCCCTTTCAGTTTAGAACATGCTGAATTGTGTAAACTCAAGCAGACCACTTTCATCTTTCTAACCACTTCCCCTTCCATTCAGTGAAGCAGTTAGACTATGTAACATCTCCCAGTGTTCTACAAAACATCACTTCTAAAAAGTAACTAGAGATTTATACTCAGTTGAACCTTCTGTTCACATTCAACGTGGGGTGTCTCAAACCTGACACCAAGGAACACTCTCCACTACATTACCAACTGTGGAGCACATGTTCTTCTGGCTAGGTGGCCTCAGAGATTTTTTCCAACCTAAAAGTCCCAACTCTATCCAATCCAGCTTCCCATTCCCACACCTCCACCCGCTAGCAGGGTCAGAACAAGGTGTGTCCATCCCCAGGGCTTAGCCTTTGGCTCCCTCTTGATGCCCTAGCCTAGGTAGTCCTCTTTTCAGCCACATCTCAGACTCGCCCAGGCTCTCCCAGAAAGGTTGAAGGAAGCACATTCCTCTCTCTTCCTGTCTCAGCTCCCCCCTCCTGGAGCTCCTCACCCTTTAGAGGACAGATGGGTTGGAAACAAAAACAATTGAAGGAATCCTTCCTCAGCAGGAAGGAAGCCATGCCACGATGACAGAGGTATCCAGAGAGAACCAGACTTGCAAAGAAGAGGTAAGTGGGAAAGATTGTTTATCTTTCTGGTGTGATAACAGCCAGAGTGAGAGCAGAGAGTGCAGAAATGTGAGGATGCTAGAAGACAGCAGTGGTGAGAGGAGTGATAGGTGAGAAGCCTGGCATGCAGACATACTCACTTTAGGGACAGCAGAGATGATGTGGTCAGGGTCAGAGCCAGACAGGCACAGCGTCTCCAGAGTCTGGAAGCCCCATGAAGCAAGCAGGGCCTGGTACTACTCTGCTCATAACCAGGGGGCTGTGGGCACAGAGCCCAAAGGGCACTCTTAAGGCACCAGCTTTCTGAGCTCATCTCTTTCCTCAGGCCTCAGCCAATGAGGTCAGGAGATAATTTGCATATCTCATTAGCCAGGGGGGCTGGGAATGATGGACAGGAAGAAGAGGACAAGCATTTCTGTCCTCAAAAGGGGGCATCTTCCCCAACAAAGCTCCTCACTGATGGTTCAAATCATATGTGTTTGGTTCTCCGATACACAGCCACACTGATTCCAACCACCACTCCTCCCTGTGGACACAACCCTCAGCTCTCAACCACTAAAACCCTGGGACTGGGAATGAAAGCCAGACAAGCTCTTGGCCCCCAACCCCACAAAGCTTTGTACTTCTCTTTGGTGTTTGCAAGAAATACAAGCTCTTCCTAGCCCACTCTTACCTAACCCACTCTCACCGAGCCTGTTTGGTTCTATTTCTTCTTTTCAAGTAGCTTTCCTCTTCACATTTTTGCCCTCTGCCCCATCTTCACCCGGATTGGCCTTATACCACTTACAACCATCACAACAGAAAGATAGGCAACTTTCCTCATGGGGAATCTCCAGGACTTGCCCATCCAATCCTCACCTCTCCCACTTCTAAAACCCCAGCCCTAGAAAGACAGCCCAGCTTGGGAGAAGAACTAGGAGAAAAATGGGAATCTTCTCCTTCCTTCTGGGCCACCAAAGGACACTGAAATCTAATCAGCACAAGCCCATCAGATACACTTTCATGGTTGCCCTCACAAGCCCTCTGCTTTGTCTCACCTTTTCCCTGTATCTCTAGCCCTCTCTCTTCATCTCTCACTCATTGTAGTTCCCAGATGGCTGGGGAGTGACCTATATTTCCAGCCTAATCTCCTAACACCTCTAAGAGCTATCATCCCCCAGCAGGAGTTGGAACAGGGATACTAGGAATTAGCCAAGGAGACATTTAAACCTGTCCGAAGCTGTTTAAATAAAGTCTGTACTAGAATAGAACTCCAGGGGTTAAAGGCTTCTCCCTACCTTCTGAGGACACTCAGACACTCTCATTGGGCTAACAGGTCCCCCTTCCCAATTTAGAGAGAGACTGGGCACTCAGCCCCAGTGATCCTCAGTTATAAAACTTCACCTGTTGCAAGCCTTAGATTTAAGGGAAAAGCTGGTAGATGCAGATTATTTAAGACAGTGGTTCTCATAATGTTGTCCTCAGACCAACAGCACCAGCATTCCCTGTTAGCGTAGAGACAGAAATTCTTTGGCTTTACCTAACACCTATTGTATCAGAAATTCTAGAGGTGAGATATAGAAACTGCATTTTAATAGGTCCTGCCAGCAATTCTGACAAACACTAAAATTTGAGAACTACTAAATCATAGATGCCTAACTTCCTGTGGTATATCATATGTGTGTGAATGACTGTGTGTGTTTGTGTGTAGTCTCTCCTATCATACTGTATTAGTCAGCTTTTCATTACTATAACAAATACCTGAGATAATAAACCCAGAAAAATTTCAGTTCAGCTCCTAGTTTTCAACACTCCAGTCCATGATCACATGATCTATGTGGGTCCATGGACAGGGGGCATGTGCTGGAGTAAAGCTGATCACCTCATGACTGAGATAAAAAAGAAGAGGAGGAGGCTGGCATCCCACTGTCCCCTTCATGGGAATGTCCCCAGTGACAAGATCTCCCAACTCCTAAAGTGTCCACCACTTCCTAACAATGCAGAGTGAGGGACTAAGTCTTTACATTTTTTTCTTCTTCTTTTTTTTAATCTATGAATAAAATGGATTTGAAAAAAAGGGACTAAGTCTTTAGCACACAAACCTTTGAGGGATGTTAAAGATCCAAGCACACACTTTCTAACACATATGAGAAGATCTACATCAGACAACATCCCTCTCTTTCCACACCTGCACTTCCATTTGATGGAGCAGAGTCCGCCTTCATCATTCACATAGAAAGGCATCTCTGTGTGACTGCCTGGATCTAGGGCTGTTTTCTCAGAAAAGGCCAAAAATCAAGGCTTGGGAACCAGCCACAAAATGGAAAATAGGGATCATGGAGACAGGGAACCCCATACACATGTCGATAGACAATGGCTGTAAGATGGACACCCAGGAAAGAAATCCTAAAATTCCCCTGAACAAAGGAATAGATGTAGAAGCAGCTCCTTTTCATGCCTGCTCTGGCCTGGCCAGACACTCGCCCCCACCCAGCAGCTGTCAGATCTGCCCTGAGCCTCTTGTTTACTGGAGGGCTCAAGGAGAGGTGGAAGGGCTAAGCTGCTAAGGGGCTAACAGAGTCAGACTAAACAAGCTCAGGAGAGCTGAGCCGTTTAGAATTCAGACGAGGCACTGGTAACCAGAGAAAGGAGCTGGGGGACTGAGGGCTGGACTCAGACTAGAGTGGAGGAGACCAAAGGCACAAGAGGAGAGGCTGTGCCAGCCTGTGGGGATGAGGAAGCAGAGCCCATCACCAAGGTTGGGGTGGGGGCGGTTGCTTGGAGGATGAAAAACAGATCATGGGACTGAAAGGCTGGAGGAAATCTGAGAACAGAGAAATAGGGATGAAAAAGATGAAGCCAGAGTGAACACCAAGAATGACAGGACAGAGAGCCGAGCAGACTGGACAAGGAAGAGATATGTGCAGTTCTCAGATAGAGGACAGAACAAGTCAGGCGCCCCACAGGGATCACCCTGAAAGAGACAGAGGACACCAGCAGACAGAAGAGATAAGCAAAGGGCCATGGAGAACTGAAAGACAGATAGGCTTCCAGGAGAGGTCCAAGAAGGGAGTGAAGACCAACAGGAAAGGTGTATAGAAACAAGAGCCTAGAGGAACAAAAGTGATAGAAGAAAAGGCAACAGACAGATTGTCAGGCTGGCCACAAACTCCTGGGCTCAAGCAATCATCCTGCCTCAGCTTTCTAAGGAGCTGGAACTCTAGGCACAAACAAATCCTTTTAACTGAAATGAGTGCTATGAAACAGAAGGACAAGGTGCTCTGAGATTTTACATCATGAAGACTTCATCTTCTAATACAAGGAGCTGGGCCACAGAGTGTAGTGTTTCAGGGACAGGTTGTCAAAGGAAGTCACAATAAACTGAAACAAGTCAGGTAAATAAAAAGTGACCATGCACAAGGTAGGGATTCTAGAATGGAGGAGGACCATTATACCACATTTCCCTGAAAATAAGACTTAACTGGAAAACAAGTCCTAGTATGATTTTTTCAGGATGCTTCCAACATAAGCCCTACCACTAAAATAAGCCCCAGTTAATACTGTCAGTCAGATGGATGCATTTAATATGTCCATTGCAATACACAATGGACATATTAAATTATAAAATAGGGGCTGGGGATTTAGCTCAGCAGCGTAAGCTTCTGCCTTGCAAGTACTCATTTGTGAGTTCGATCCCTGGTAC